GAGCATACACTGTCCCTCTCATGCAGTAAGTTGACAGTGAATGTACAAAATCCTGGGCAAGGGCAGTGCAGGTGCTGTGTGGAGAGAGACTGGCCATGGTTAGGACCAAACACAAGCAGTGACAGATAAGCAGTGGGGGAGATGGCAGGCTGGAGTGCCTAAGCCTGAGCCTGTCCTCCTTCCTTTTTCTACAGATGGGAAATTGAAGCTCAGTGAAAGGGCAGCTCAGATGATGCTTCCCTTATGGAGAGGGGCCTCCTGAAGGAGTGCAGAGGTGTTTCTTTCAGGCAGGGGCTGAAAGAGTGAAGGGGAGTTTGAGCTTGCAGGAATTTGTAGCTGTGTGTCATTGTTGCTACTCAAAAGTGAGCATCTCTTTTAAATTAGTGCTCAAACCCCACTCTGTCCTGTGAAACAGAATTTAAGATCTTCTGTGAAGCATGTCATAGTGCTCTATTTTTTAGAAACCATATCCAGTCACTCCCTTGCTGCCCCTCCTATTTGCAGTCTATGAAGCCTTTTGGCATGCCAGTATTGTAAGAGCCAAATGTTTCAAGATAAAGATTTTTATGTAGGTGTAATAGCTTTTCGGGTGCCAGCTTATACATCTGAAGAAAGCAGATGAGTTTTGGGGCGTGTACACTCCTCAGAAAAGATGAGGTGAATTTCAAACCTAACTGCATCTTGGGAACAGTTGTCCTGGGTTTAATTAGACCTGTGTCTGAGTTAGACATCTGAAAGCACCCGTGGAATATAAAGAGTATATTGGTGGTTATATCCTAGGGGGAAAAGAGATGCAGGTAATTTGTAGAATAATAGTAGCATGATGTAGAGCACTGGGAGATTGATAATTGGAAAAGGTGCAGAGAGAAGGATGGTAATGTGTTCTAAAACATTAGTATTCGGGAAAGTAATGTGATACAGTTCCCAGATTTACCTCACAAAGATGTTGTAGAATTTTCTTTGAGAATCAGGGCTGGAGGATCAGAAATGGAACAACTACACTGTAAGAAATATAGCCTGTTGGAAGCACTTCATCCCCGCTGACTCTTTTGAAGAGTTGAAGACGGTATCTTTTGACAGGCTGAGAAAGAAGATTTCTTTTGCCTTTGCAAAGTTGTGCCCAGTGCATTTCAAATTCCCAAGCATTTGGCAGATTTTCACTGTCTCGTATTAGCTGGTGAACCAAGAATTCCTCCTGGTGAAGAGTTTTTAATATGACTCTGTAACCAAGACTATTCAATTGCTAATTGAGAGGGTACAGCAGTCAAAATAGGATGATGCTTCAGCTGCCTGTATCATTTCACTTGCTATTGTTATTTGCATGTTGGTCGAGATTTCTGCTTTTTCTGTGTGCGTAAGCCCAGATGAGACGTTATAGGCTTACTTGTCCATGTTCCAGGAGGTAACAATTTGTTGGCCTGTGCCTATCTCTGAGTGCTAGAGAAAATCACCACCAACTGGGGGGCAGCCAGGCAGCTCCTTCCACACTCCATTTTCCAGGACCCTGATGAGCAGGATTTGACAAACAGGTATGGGACAGAAATTTCACTGGTTGCCTCAGCTGATGGTTGTGATACATCATCTCAGAAGCTGACAAGGCAAAGTGGATCTCTCCACATCCTTCAAGAAAGCAGGCCATGAGATTCCTACTGGTCAGCTCAGCCTCACAAATGGAGAAGTCTGATCCTCTGGGATGGACAGGTTCCTTGCTCACAGATCCACTCATCCTGCCATTGCTGAAGCCCCTACATGTGTAAGCAGACCTCAGCCAGCCTCCTTGCCTGGGGTACAGCATTGCCAGAGCAGGTCTTGGGGAGCAGCTTCTTAGGCACCAACACATTTCTTGTCAGCATTTGTGACCTGAGAGGGTTGAAGGCTTGTAGGTGGGGGTATATTTGGTTAAAAAAAAACAAAAACAAAACCACCAAAAAAGTACTGCTTATGCTAGCAAGAGTCCCAAATTTAAGTCCATATTCCAAAACAGAGCTTTTTAGCACACTGTGCTAGGAACTCTTCAATATTGGCAGTGCTGGGGTTTTGTGCTTTGAAATACTTTTAAAAAGTCATATTTGTGTGATCTTTTGTGACACAGAGTCTTGCGGGTGAATCAGAGCTGACACCTGGAGTAGATAATGCCAGCTTGCAGGAAAGCTGCAAATACATGGAAAGGAGGGCCTCCTGCTGCCAAGTTTTTCAGATAATGTTTGCATTTAGTATCATTGCAGATCCCCTTCTGGGGAAAGGAGACTTGTCCTGCTAGAGTATCAATACTGAGCAGAAACCTCCTAAAGACTATCCTCCCATAACCCTCAGCACTGTGGTGCTGGTCTTGTGCTAGATTCTGCCCTAACAGCTCAGCCTGGTGCTTGTGTCCCTCTTCCTGCTGAGGTCTCTGAAAAGATGTTGGAAAGAAGATGTTGAACCAGGGGCAGCAGCAGGGCCACAGTCTGTGAGTGTGTCCTGGGAGGGCTCTGTGGAAGGCTGGCATTTTTGGTGTGGGCTGCCTGCCAGCACACAGCATGATAATGACAGGAAGAACTGCACAGAGTTTAGTGATGGCCTTAAGTTTCTCTGCTCCTGGGAACTCCCTTTGTGAACAATAATGCATACATCAAAGGATTAAAGTATTGCACTCAGTGCATGACTGTGGGCACATGCTCTCACTCCTCTTTTCCTCTCTCATGCTGGTTTTGAAGAGGCAATTAAAACCCAGTGACTTTTGTCACAAGTGGTGCAGAGGTCAATAGCACCTGACCCATGTGACTCCATACAAGTGCCACTTGGTTCCGTGACAGCTGCCCAGCTCTCTCATGGTTGCCACAGAGACAAAATCTGAGCAGCCTTCACTCCTTTATTTCCCTAGAAGATCCCAGGATAGGTTTGAGGCAAGAGTCAAGCCTAGCTGGTACTGATGGAAGCTGGAGAACTCAAGGATCCTCTCAGATAAGCATACAGGGAAGGTCAGATCCATGTGGTGTGGGCTCCAAAGAGCTGTGCATTGATGAGGTTCCTGGGCTCCTGAGTTGTTAACTCCAGTTGGAAAGCCACCTGTGATAATTTTGAATTAGCTGAGTTCCAACTGACAGAGAGTCAGGAAGGTCCAGCTGCAGTGGCTGAATTCCTTGTTCCTGCCACTTTGCCTCAGTAGGCTCATGTGGAGGGGTGGAAGGTAAGAAATGACTAGCAGAGCAGCTGGGGTAACATATGGCATTTTGTGTGTGCTTTGTTTTCCACATCAGGCCCATTATTTGCATTCTGCTCACATTATGATAAAGGCTGAGCCTCACCTGGGTGGCAGAAGATGGAAGTTACCTTGGAAACAACAGGAACACCTTCATTGCTTCTAGTCAGCTTCCCCCTGGCTACAGGCTCTGTACACACTGGCAGCCAGCTGGTCTCCTTTTCCTGAAGTTGCTGTTTTTCCATTGTGCCTTTCCTCCCTTGATGGGAACCAACGACTTTGATTTGATTTGATTGAACCTGGTGCTGTGGGGCATCAGACGGGGAGTGGTGCTGCATAGGGAAGCAGCAGTAGGAGTTTGGCTTGCTTGCTTTCACATAGCTCAGATGTCCCTCTAGGTCAGGCCAACCCTGCACTGCCCTGACAGGAGAGGTACAAAGCAACTGAAGAGAAAAAAGGGAACTCCAAGCAGTAGAAAGGATCATTAAGCTTCCATGGCCTCAGTGCTAATGAAGTGTGAAGCCCTGCAGAGGAGACACATGACCCTCTTGTGGGTCATGGAGAAACACCTAGAGGTATTTACAATAAGATGATGGGTGTAAGGCTTATTGAGGGATGTGGTGGGAAAAAACACTTTTGGGATTGTCTACAACTTGTTTTGGAATGTTTTCCAAGGGCCGTGGGAATGTACAAGACTTAGTATGTTTGGGATGGATTAAAAGTGGGGAAAGGAAGGAACTGAGGTGGATTGGAAATAAGCAAGTGTGGGAAAAGAGTGTAAAAAGGGCAGGTCAGTGTACTTGCTTGAGCCCTGCCTGCACTTGATCACTCCAATCTGTTCTGCATTCTCATGAAAACCTATTTTTATCTGGTTTAAACCAGAGTGTTCTTTCTGGTCTGAGTGGGTGTGTGTGAGCACAGCCAATGTGATGCTGGTCTGGTTGGCGAGCAGCAGAGGAGGGATGAGTGGTACAGCTGCAGCAGGGCTGCGAGCTGGGGGCTTGCTTGTCCAGGTACCAGCAAAGCTCTCTGAGAGTCAGGTAAGGACAGAGAGAAGGTGTAATTTGCCCCAAGTTGTCAAACTCCTGGCCAGGTGTCACATGTGCAAGGACAAGTGGCTACAGCCCTATGAAGTGAAGCAAGTGGTTGCAATATTAAGTGGCTGAGAGCCTGGGTCAGCCTTTTTTCCCCCCCCTCCCCTTCCTCTAAATATGATAATAAGAATTGTTTTTGAATATTTATGTTTGGAATAATTATTTGGAAGAAGTCACAGCTGCATCTGCTCCTGCTGAAGTAACAGTTTGTGCTGCTGTCTCCTAGACACCTTAAATTCCCACTCTGAAAGAAAGACCTTGCTTTTTAAAACCAAGGCTTAATTTCCATGCTGATTCAAAATGGGTGTAATTTCAAAGAGCAATGGGACTTATTAGTGGTTTAAGGACCAATGTAAGAAAACAGATTAACTGAACCAGTGGCTGTTGCAGTGACAGCCACTTTGGGAGGAACCAGAAGCGGCTGTTATGAAAAAATCAGCTCTGCACAGGTAACACCTCAGCCTTCATGCCATGTTTGAAAAGAACAGAAATGCCACATTTGTGTGAGATACTATTGTGGGTCACTACTTCCCATACATCTGCCAAAGCTGGAAGCATCAGAAAAATGCATTTCAGAGCTGGCACAACAATAGGGAGCTGCAATTGTGTTGCTCATCCATCTTTGTGAGCACATGAGAAACATTTGAAGAGTGTCTGAAAGACACTGCAGAATTTGTTAAGTTTTTTTCCCCCCAGCATATAAACCATTGCATGCAATTCATAAGGACAGGAAAACATATGCATGTCTTTTATTTGAGAATTAGGCAATTATGCAATTAGAAACTATATGCAATGCACACAAGGTGGGTGTGCACATGCACAGAAAGTTTTCAGATTCTGATTTTTAATGCTATATGACTCTTAAATCAACATGTGACTTGTAATTGGCTAGACAGAAATCATAACAAATTTACATTTCAGAAACAAAACAAGTCCCCAAGCTCCATTAACCCAGGACTCTTGGAATCTTCTGGAACTTTTAAAATCTTCTTTTATGTGAAAAACCCCCTTTTCTACTAGACAGAAATATATTAATGTTTCATCTCAGTGTTTCTTTCAAAAAAAAAAATTTCTATAATGCCATTTTGGTGCTATCAATATGATGCCATCAAAGCCCTAAATAAAACACATTTCTATTGCCATTGATTATTTGGGAAATGCATTTTATCCCAGGAAAGCCAACATGCACAGGACATCCACCAAAAATCAATTCTGCAATAGCAAAATCAGAAAATAACTCCACAAATAGTTGTTTACATTGGAAGAGCATAGACAGAGATTTTACCCAGGTATTACTGTATCACATTCTAACAAAATTTTCCATCTCAGACAGCATGGTAGCTCAACATATTTGTCCTGAAGAGACATACAGAGCAATCAGGAAGTTTTCTTGAAATGTCTATACAGCTCTTAGTTGTTACTTGGTAACAGCAAACTCAAAGATTGTTTTTTGGTTCCTTTCCCTTTCTGTTTTGTTACTAACATATAACGTTCCTTAAAATTCCTTTTAAACTCCCAATTTATCATATGCCTACCACAAAGCCTTCTTTTTATTGACTATACTATGAATTACACACCTATTTAACATTTCAGAAGAGGGAGACCTCACTTTTGAGCAGAAATGTTCAACACCAGTATAAATAAAGGACGCCTAAGCCAGCCCAAATCAAAGGCAATCACACTAAAATCTAGGCTGGTAGACTTTTACATCCAGGAAAACTTCTCTGACATTTTTTTTTTTTTTTTACAAAACAGGATTTCCTGATATGCCTGGAGTCAGTATGGTGTGACATGGGCTGGCACTGCAGAATAGCAACAGCATAAATTAAATCCACGTTGAGAGCTGCTTACCAGAAACACTGCATAGTAATTATGGTGAAGATTCTCAGTGAAATAGATTCTGGTTTTTCAAATAAGATTCTGAAAAAAAACACCTCCTAACATTTCAGCAGAAAAGCTTTACAACTTGTCCAAATTGTAGAAGATGTCTCATCTTTTCCCATGAAAGCTTACAGAGCTTGTAATTTACTGAGTTAATGCTTGTTCTAATGACTATTTGAGGGGATGGCTTGGCATGAGTAAGAGATGAAGTTGTGTATGAATTCAGTTCAAAGGTTCATGCAATTTACACAAAGTAATGAAAAGCTTAACTTGAACTCTCAACAACTCCACTTTCCTCCACCTCAAGTTCATAACACTGATATCATCAAGTCTTTATGAAGCTGCCGCAGAGTGGGGGAAAAATAAGTCAAAAACAAGCTCCCAACTCGCACCAAGGCTACATGAACTAGAACCATGGGTCCCACAGATGGAAGAGTAGTGCACAATGGCAAAGGGGCTGCTGCACTCCTGTCAGGAGCGCCTCCTCTCAAACATGGCCTTGGATAGTGCAGGAGACCATGATGGGGCCAGGCAGGGCAGACAGCAAACAGCAGGGAGCCGACTGGATCTGGCCATCTGTGACCGCTCCTCCCACCTCAGTTTGGAGGAGAAGGGGCCAAAGAACAAAAGTCAAAACAGACAACAGAACAACAACGTTTTTATACAAGAAGCCCTCATCCTTGCTCCAGACTTTGAATGAGCAAGGACTGCACGATGCACTCATCAAGTAATTTTTTTTCAGCTGTGAAGAGTTAGCTAGTCATACCATGTTCACCCTGTCATCACTTTAGTTGCCTAAAAAAATCCCAGACATTTCTAATACTGCTTCTCCAATAAAGAAATCTACATTTGCTCAGAAAGTAGAATCTTAATGAGGCCTTGCTTGCTGAGTTAAAAAAAAGCATGAGGCAAGAGAAGTCTGTATTAGGGGAAGAAAAATACATAGCCCTTATTTAATCCTTCCTCTCACCTCAAAACAGAAGGCCCAGAAACTGAAACCTGATAAAAAGCAAACACAATACAAAATCAGTCTCTCTTTCTCCTGAAGGTAGCAGGTTTTTCAACTGGCAAAATAAATTGCCCATTAGAAAAAAAGTGGTATCTAAATGCATTCCACATAAGCAGTCATTTGCAACATTTTAAACTCTCCAAGACTGGGCAAAAGCACAGGTCTAATTGTAAATAATTAACACAGAATCACAGAATCATTTAGGTTGGAAAAGGCTTCTAAATCATTGACTCCGGCCTTTGACTGATGACACTGTGTAGACCAAGCATCGAGTGCTATATCCAGCTGTTTCTTGCACACCTTCAGGGACGCAGACTCCACCACCTCCTTGAGCGGCCCACTGCAAGGTTTAACAATCCTTTCTGCTGCTAACCCACAGAAGAGGTAAAGAATTCTAAACATGAATGTAGACTTTTTAAAATGTCAGATTTTTTTCCTTCCTTACAGAAGAGCTGTTCTGGTCTGCAAATTAATGGACGAAATAAGCCTTATTTTGAGTCTCACATTGTATGTGCTTAAAAAAAGATGGATTTCTGATGACAATCACTACAAATTGAAACTCAATTTTTCTCTTCTCATATTACTACCATGTTACAACTAACTCTGAAAATCTTGAGGTTTTACTACTCCTGCTACTCCTAGCACTTCCTGCTACAGTACAAAAACTATACTGCATACACATAAACCTGTATTTATGTATAGACATATCACAGAGATAAAAGCACTGGGCAAATGTAGAAGCTACTATTTGAGTTTATACTCCCCAGCAGAAGCTCCAGTCAAGCAATGTGCCACACACAAAAATGGGATTTTTATAAAATCCTGTAAAGAGGATTTTTCCATGGCCTTCAGGTCAGGCTCAGAAAGAGTATCTTAAGCATGACAGGAGAAAAAGGAAAACTGCCAACTCAATTACAAGATTAAATCTAGAGCTCCTTAAAAACTCACCTATTTTAATTAATTATTTTTAAGTGAACAACAAAAAAATATATGTATCAAAGTTTCAAAGTAGCAAATGTTTATTTTTTGTATATCAGGACTCTCCCTTTAGTTTAGTTTTAGTACAGATGATCCTCCCTAAGAGAGTATTTATAAGAGTATTTACAGACAAGGAAAAATAGTTAAACATCAGGATATTTATTTTGCATACAAATATTTACAGAAAAATACTTACAAAAATTAAGTATTCAAATTTTAATTGACTTCACTTCAAAAAAGCTCAGTGCTTTCATCTTATAAAAACATGTTGCCTTTACTGTGCTCAAATTTACTATTCAGATCTCTGGATTTTTTTATAAGAGCTTTCTTTTGTGCTTCATCAAAGCGATTGACTTTGAGATCCTGCTCTCGGTCAAATGGCCTTCTTTCCTGAGGTTTGCTCTTTTCTTCAGATGCTTTGCTCTTCAATTTTTTCTGGTGTATGTCCATGAGAGACTCTGACCTCTTTGACTCCTGGAAAAAATGGGGAGGAAGAGAAAGTAAAGTATTAAAGAATATCAACAACAACATACAGAAAATCCAAATGGAAAGACTGGAGTCAGGAAGGCTAAAAATTCCAGGAAAAGAAGACAGCTTAGCAACTGGATATAGAATGATAAATATAGCATACATGGAGTATAAAGTGTGAGCAATCTTGGCTAGGCTATAATACTAATAATTCACTGATGTAGACAGCCATAATGTTGTAGATAGCCATGATGTTGTTGAATCTCCACAGACAATGGAGATAAATTATAAACATAATGATAAAGAAATATAGAAGTTGCTCTGACATTATTGGCAGAACGAAGACACCATGTCAAAAGAAATACCTCAAAGTACAGGCCCAGTTTCCTATACACATCCCCTGAGCACCTGGATTTAGTCACTGCTAGGGGCAGGAACAAGTTAGACACCCTTTTAATCTTCCATGTACTACAGTGGGTTTTTAAATGTGTGCTCCTAACTTTTAATCATCTGTTGAAAGCCCACAGGACAAAGCCACAGGTTGGAGCTGGAGCATGTGTTTTGCCAGCTCAAGGGCTTTAGCTGCATTTCTTAGAGAGCATGATCCAGCTCAAACACAACATAAAACTTCTGCTTATTTCACACAAGAGCAGGATTAGCTCTCCCAAGACTATGAGGCCCCTCATTTACTCAGGTACAGTGCATTTGTGTATCTAAACCAATTTTCTGATCAAAAAGTGCAAAAGTTGAGCAGCTCTGTTTCCTCATGATTTTCCTTCACTTCCTGTGCAAACACTTAGTACATCACACATGCAAATAATAGCTTATGCATGAGTTAAGAAAAGATTCTTAAGGAAAACAGGCAATACTTATTCACGATGTAATGGTGTCAGCCTTGACAAAATTGCACCAGAGAACGTATGTTGTATCAGTATTGAAAGAAGAAACTACTTTAAGAATGAAATCAGTTCTAGTGAAGTATTCTTAGTAAATGTCAGTGGAGAAAGAAATAGGAAAGAATAGAGAGATAAACTTTAAAAGAAAAAGACCTACAACCTGAAAATACGTACCTGAAAATACCTACCTGAAAATCAGAGAAGAGCTGATTTAACAAAGAAGAAAAAACAGACAAAGCAACCCAAGAAACAGTGTTCTTAAACTTTAAGACAACTCCATACATCTTTGAAACAGCAAAGTGCTATGTATGTTTTATTCTACCAATGGCAGAGAGCAAAACAAATAGTTTTACATGAAAAATTATTCTACTATATTCATAGTGATAGTAGAAACAGACACTAAAAAGAATGTTAAGACAGAATTTTAATAGCTCTGGATTTGCAAGTCTCCAAGTCAGGAGAAACGTATGATTTAATGAACTACAAATAAATTATCAGAAGTTAAATTAATTATCAGATAAACATGTAAAATAAGCCAAAGCTGTGACTTTCAAGTCAATTGTCCTCTCAAGAGACTTCCGTAGGAGTTCAGGCCATACATCAGGGAAGAACTGGAAGTAAGAGCTGTAAGGCAGGCAGTGGTCCACACACTTTGAGGAACAGGGATGACTGACAGAAAAGTGAGAGGAAATTTGACATGGAGTTCAGATTTCTAGTAATCAACATCTGTCTGTCAACATTATTTGCTCCTATAGAGATTGAGAAAAACTACATGTGGTGAAGTTCCTGTAATGAGCAGTTAATGTAATTAATGACAAAGGATAATTAATGCGGTGACCTGCTTAGCCCATCAACCCTTTTTTAGGTTAGTGTATATGTTGGCCTAAAAGTTAAACCTGCATTGCTGTTTTATTCTTGGGATGTCAGTAATTGGGTGAAGCAAGCTAATATTTGAACTAAGGCCCCAGCAACCATGTCCTGGCATGAGGATGACTGAAGGAAAGCACCATCTAAAACGGGGGCAATATACACAAACCCAAATTCTGTCACTTCAGAGAGGGCTCAATCCTGCTCTTGTTGACGTTAATGCCTACTATTCTAATATCTTAAAACAGCAGTAGGTTTGGGCACTAAAAGGGAAAATTGTAGTGGCATCACCATGGAAACCAGCAGCACTAGAAATGAGAACCAGAAGAAGGGTGAGGAACTAAAGGAAATAGAGGAAGTATTTTGTGATTACACTTACATTGTATGAAGTCACCTGCTCAATAAGCCTCTTGTCCCTCCCAGATAATACCATTTCTTCATTATCTTTACTGCTTGACTTTTTTGCCTCTTCTCTTTCCTGATGAGTAGAAGGAAATCACATGCTATAGTAGTCAGAATGTCTGAAGAAAAAAGCAAGCAAATCTATATCTACTTTAATTAAATCTGGAGGGTAAAGGCCATCAGACACTTTCTGCTCAGCTTGATGGAAGAACAAACTGGACATGCTAATTGGAAAGCCAATGAGCTGATACAGAGTATCTGACTACTGCAAAAAAGGAGCAGAAATAAATGTACGTCAATTATATTTAATGTTACTTCATTGCCTTTATCTTTAAGCTTGAATTAGTAAATTTTAATAACAAAGAAAAATCTGGGAAAGAAAATTTCACCGAGTAACCCACAGTATCTTTACTTTGTTTTCACAGAACACCAGTAACACCTACTGCCTGCAAGTGTATATGAATGAATAAATAAATGCTCACCTTAGCTTTTCTCTCTCTGTCAGCTGGAGTATCTGTCCAAATAGATCTATCACCTGATTTGTCATCAGCTCGTCTCTTGAATGTTCTTGGGCCAAATCCAAAGCTTTTCAACTCAGGTGGAAGCTCTGTCATCCATGATTCCCTGGTAACTTGTTTGGGTTCATCCTTTGGAAAAAAAGTAGGGGTGGAGGGAAGAGTGAAAAAAGCATAATCAAAAATTACTGTCTGAATCTCTTGGCTTCCAGCAGAAATCATAGACTTTTTTTCTTTAAGACCTGCATACACATAGCATCCCAAGTAGAACTGCAACTAGGTTTACAGAGAAATAGGCAAAAAGAAAGACAAATACACTCCAGCAACAAAATACTAGAAATTAAGAAATCCAACTTACACTGTCTGTTGAAGTAAGCTTTTCTTTCATTCTCTGAGCTCTGCGTTCAAACTCTTCAGCCACATCAGACTCCACTGGTCCTTTTGCAGGCATTGGGCCTATTAAATTGTCTTCATCGTCACTACTATCTGTCAGCTTCCAAAAATAAAACATTTCATTCAAACACATGCTCAGAGCATCAAGGAACACTTTAGCTTTATAGAATTAGAATGACTTTGTCTAGAAGAGCACATAAACCTAATGCAACGCACGTCCCAGGCAACAAAGACCTGGATTAAAACTCCAGATTAGAGCAGTTCCAGCACTTGAACACGGATACTTTGTCTACATTTTGCCAGAAGCAGCATCTCTCGTCTGAGGCAAGACTGCTGGTAAAGGCAGTGGCAGCACACAAAGCCCTGCTACTTTACATTGCTCTGCACACAGCCACGCAGCCTCTGTGGCTGTGGGTGAATTTGAACGCACAAGCATACAACATTCATATTTTGGGCTTTACCATCACCAGCAATATTTGGATGCATTTCCCTAATAAGGATCACAATTTCACACTGCAAGAACTATCTCAAGCTCAGATTCCATAAGGATGTCAGAAAGAATAAAGTGCAAGGTAAGGGTACTGGTGGCATGCATGGTACTATGCCCCTGTGAGTATAGCATGTCCAACTAGTCCCTTGGCTCTGTCATTCACTTCTTCGATCCCTCATGGATCCCTTCAGGAAGAATTTCTTCACTGCAAGGGTTATCAAGAATTGGAACAGGCTGCCAAGGAAGTGGTGGAATCACCATTCCTGGAAGTGTTCAGAAAATGACTGGATGTGGCCCTTAGTGCCATGGTCTAGTTGAGAAGGTGGTGATGGGTCAAAGGTTGGACTCAATGATCCTGGAAGTCTTTTCCAACCTAAAAATTCCATGATTTTGACATCACATTCTAAGCAATTTTTTGGAGAAGGGCTAAAAAAATAAAATTGCTAGGGACTAGATGTCAGTAAAAATCTTCCTACTTGCCAGGGGTTGTACAGAAAGCTCACTGGTGCCTCCCTCCAAGTTCAAACAGTACAGATGCGTATGGAAGCAAAACTAGACAGAAAATGGTGATGCCACAGTGCCCTGGGAACAAAGCTAAGGTGTCCAATACCTACAAAAGTGCAAAGATTTTGCTACAGTCTGACTGTGTGTGATAAAGCAATGGGAGTAGGATGACAAGGCTGTGTAGCCAGGAAGCACAAAGCATTACTTGAGAATTACCAAGGTGTTGAATCATTAGATTCACTAAAGCAAAGTGAAGAGTCAGCATGCCTCTAAAAATGTACTTGAATACAAAATAATTAAATAAAATTTTTAAAAAGTCAACAAGAAATTACTCATATTAAAAAATAAGAAAAAGAGTATTATTAGGAAGAGGTAATAAAAAGATAACTATTAGGAAGAGAAAGAAGGCAAATTCTCTAATACCTGCAAAAAAGCTGATGCTAGAAGATGTATTTATGAGAAGAGAGACTTTTTTGTTTGCAAAATATAAAAGCAGACAGCAGACATTTCTGCCTCAAGAGATTTGTCACTATGATAAATTGCTTAATCATTATTTGGAGTTATAAGACGATGAGTACCTCAGAAATGCCAGATAATGTTTCTGCACGATGAATTACAACACCACTCACTGTAGGAGGCTGGAGAATTATATGCTTTGCAACCACTAAGCAAAAAAGTGAAGATTCAGAGCAGCCTTTGAATCCTTCCTTCCTAGCGTGTCTAGCATCTCCCATAATGTCTGGGAGATAAATGTAAAAAGGTAAGTATTTTTAAAATAAGCAGAATAACCATTAATTCTCCCAAGGAATTAATATTCAGTTTATCACAGCATGAGAGAGATTCACGTGCCTAAGAGCTGGTATCCAGCACCATTTTCTGGCTGACTTAAGAAGTGCTGCTCAAGAAGGGCACAACCTTCTCTAAATGTGCTGCTCCCTACCTGCCAGGCCCTCCCACAGGCAATTTGGATCCCTCAGAACGGCCCATGTTTAGGGAGTTTAACCTTCCCCATAGCCGTATTTTATCACATACCTTGTTCCCGAATGTTCTTTAGTAGCACATGCATTATTTTGCAACCAGGGAGGGCAGACCACAGAACTTCTACCTAGTTTTTACCTAACATTACCAGAGAAGTCAAAAAACGTGAAACAAAAAGGTAGGTCAGTGTTACTGTCCTGCACCTCACTCCCAGTTACAGGTATCATCCTGCAATTGCTAAGAACAATTTAGTGAATTGTAATGCCATTCTTGATTGTATTCTTTTGGATAAACTTATTTAAAGGTTGTAGCCACTAATAAACATCTGCCTGCAGTTTAGGATGCCAAGATTGCTTGTGTTCAGTGAGTGCACCGTCTATTTAACAACAAAAGCACAACAAACCAGGCCAGTCTTTTTGGTTTTTTAAGGCTTATTTATGCTCCAGTATTTGACTCCAGCAAAAATATGCCAGATGCTTTCTGGTCCAAAATTAAACTGTCATCCTGAGACGTGTCTGGCAGTCTCTTTCAGGATGCAACTTGTTTAACCATTTCAGATAGCTTGTGCTAAAACAAAAGGCTTCCCTTTGCACAAACCTGGGGATGGGATTCTGATGAAACAGATGGTCCTATGAAACTTCTGCTACTCCTGGTGTCCTCTGAAGTTTTCCTAAAGCCAGGTGGTAGTGCAGGACCTATAATGGGCCTTGACAGCAGAGGAAAAAAAAATTGTTTTTTCAGTTGAGGGGGAAAAATATAACAGATCAATAAAATAAAAATAAAAATAAAAAATTGATGAGAAGTATGACTTTCCTTCCTCCCCACGCCAAGTGTGCCCCTGTGCACACATACTATAGAAATAACTGAGTAAGAGTGTCTCCATTTTCTAGGAGGACCTGTGCTGACAGTTTTGACACAAAAAACCCAGGAAAGTTGCAGCATGTAGTCATGGAAATCCACTTTTTTCTTCCCTAGCTTCCTTCACCAGATTCAAGAGCAATGAAAAGTGATAAGACAAATATACACTCCTTCACAATCAACAAACTCAATTTCGTTCTTCTTGTCTTGCACTTCAGTTTCACTGTCCTTTAATAAGCAGAAACAGTGAACTGCTCTGATTTTATGTTACCTTGAAGTGGGAAAGAGAGAAGAAAAGTTTTGTGAGTCCAGGTCACTTCATGGATTGGTTTGTAAGCAGCAGCTCTGCAAGAAATGTTAATCAGCTGTCTCCACAAACACAGAAAGGTGAAATCTCTTTTCAGTGGTGAAAAGAATACTACAAACTGAGATCAAAGAAACTGTGCTTGCTGTATTGAAAGTCTTTTGAATGGAGTTCCTCTTAATAATCCACCATAATATTCTTTAATGCTAATAAAAAATAATTAAAAACTTAAACAACTGTCACCTGAAGATATATCCAGGTGACAGTATTCTCACACTTTAAGAGCATACTGTTTATTATGACCCTCAGTTGTGAGATTTAGGTTATTAAATGTAACAACACCTGAATTTAATTTAGTAATTATGACCTTTACTCAGTAATCTCACTTAATCTAATTAGTACAGCCCAGCTGTAGTGATATTTTGCCAGGGTTTAAAGAGGGGAAATAAAAGACACAAAGTCTTGCTGAAGAACCAACCATGGATACACAGATATGAGCAATAAATATGAGTTCAGGCCAGGACAAGGGCACTGGTGAGGTTTTAAACACAGGCAAGAAGTCTGGGTTAATTTTGAAGTTCCACCTCCACCTAGCTGCTAGAATTGTATGTTCCTTCCTTCCTACTTTCTTGTTAAGACCATGTTTTAAATTCCTAATGTAATTTAAAGAGTTTAAACTTATACAGACACAGCCAAAAAAACCTTATATTTTAGTATACAAATACCTTTATTCTGCACAGAGAGACAGATAAATAAACTATAAAAAAGCTCTCAACTGAAAATAGATATATGAACATTTCTCATGTATCTCTGCAGCCTGTGAAAAAGAACCGATCTCAAATGCTCTGTCTTGATTCTGTCACAGCTCAAAGGCTCTTTAGGGAACAGAAAAGTAGTTCTCATATTCATCCTTCCCATGCTTTCCATTTCTTTTGCTTTTTGTTTTCTCTCACATGAATATCTCTTCAGTCTTTTCTTGGCAGTACGCAGGTGATGTGATCCTTGACAGTTTCCTGGATGTCCAAAGGGTCTCTGAACAGGTGAATTGAATCTAAACACTACTAATATTTTAACTCTGATAATATATTTACTCTAATAATATATTAACTACTAATAAATAACTGGAAAACGTATTTTATTACTGTAGGCAACTTCTGTACCTGTACATGTCAAAAATACCCCCCAAACTGATAGACTAAGTATTAATTTAAGAATTATTGCATTTCATATATGGCAAAGGTTGTTCTCCTGTTGTTGGACTTGGAAGTCCTTGCTAATGCACATTTTGAGATGGGTGTTTCAGCATTCTTCTGATGTATAACATAAATATTTTTAAGATCACCTTTGCTCTTAACCTTGATGTGTGAACACTTCAGAAATATTTATGAGTGGTGCACTTCTATCTAAAATTGATAAACAGTAATATAATCTTCAAAGTTGAAGGAAATATTTTCACATATATATATATGTTATGCTGGAATGATTCAAAACATTTTCAACAAGCTGTAGATTGCCACATGAGCTGCCCCTAATCATGAACATATTGCTTTGACAAGTCTGGAAAAGATGTAAGAGAATAAAAGCTTTCCTAAAAGAATGAATATGTCACACAGAACTGATAAACAGCCTGTCCATACACTGAAACAAACGACCTGCATTTCTTTCAATTATTCATGGCTCAGTTGGCAGCTGGCAATCTGCTCAAGGCTAAGGGCAAAGCAGCAGGCAGACAGCAGCATTGTGTCTGTGCCCTGCATAGCTCCCACGCCTCCCAGACTCCCAGGTGTGCGGGGGTGGAAGATAGACAAGGCTCTTCCCACACATCTCACTGTTCCCACCTAGTCAGGGAATCGGGCTGGGTGCAAAGCAGCTCTCCTCAATCTGCTTTCTCAGAGTGTGCTAGGAGCAATTGTGTGGTGAGGTAGGAAAAAACAATACAGTGAGTGCCAAGTGCCTTCGACTGCTTTAATCTATCACAGACACAGAGCACACTCTTGCCTCAATGTCACAGAATATTCTGGGTTGGAAGGGAACCACAAGAATCATCAAGTGCAACTCGAGTGAATGGCCCCTTCCTCTTCCATTTTATCACAAGTATTCATGTCAAAAATCCAGAAAGTAAGAAGGCTGCTTCTGCTGATATTAGAAGTTACAAATATTTTTTTTTAATAGATAACACATTATTTTAATGACCTGCTAAATTTTATAATTAAAATAATACTTAGTGCATATAGAACACAAGAAAAAGGAAAACAAATTGTTTGTGGGAGCATCTAAGCACCAAATGATCCCACTGAGTATGATACCCACAACTAGAAGAGTTTTTTGATTACAGCAAAGTGTAACCAAATGTACATGAGAAAGATACTTCCAAATAACCTTAGTTACATAAATTCTTGCTTAGTTACATAAATTTTATGCTGCCAAGCATCATAGAAATGTATGCAAACTAAAAATAAAAAAATTAACTTCGAAATTTATTTTGAGATGGTGTATTACACACACAGCTCAACAGTAAATTGAGTCACTTTTCTGGAACTGAAAACTCATACCTGACAGGCAAATATTATTTATCTACCAATTCTTATTGCTCTGAGAAAGATAAAAGTGATCAAGAGACTTTTGTACTTCTTATCAGGAAGTATCCCCTAGAAAGCACCAATTCTACTATGGTCTATAATCTCAAATTATACAAGAAGTGCCCAGACTGATGTAAAGACTAAAAGGCTGTGAGACACGGTTGAGTTCTGTATAGAAAATCCATATAATATTTTGAGGGGGGGAAGTATTTTATAATTGTAAGCAATCAAATGGAAAGCTTCGTGATGGAGACCATAAATAATGTTTATTTGTGTAGACCTGACAGCCTCTTTTCTAGAAACCTGCAGTGCTCAGAGTAGTTTTGTACCTGGAAACACGTAAATAATAATCCTTGATGCATTAGCAAAGGACATGGTATTGCACCACACATGAGGTAACTGCCCCAGGCCTTCACAGACCTGAAGGAACTACAGAACTACAGGGTCCTTGTACCTGTAATTTGTTTTTTCTCCACTGATCTATCAAAAGCTATCAAAAGAAATGAAGGAAATTTGACATTCAAAATACATCTCAGAAAATTTACATTAGTTCTTTTACTCTCCTTCCAACCTGGTCTAAGAGGGCTGGTCGTCTGTTTCAAGGGAATGCTTTTCTTGTTCTCACAATGCGGACGAAGCATTACCTCTAATCATCTCAATTTCAAGTGCACAACTGAAATGTTCTGTAATAGTGACACAAAATATTTAATCTAAAATAATTGTGTTTTAAGGAAAAGAATCTGAATATATTCCATTTTAATTACCTCTCTGGAGAATCATCCTGTTTTTTAAATCCAGGGGGAAGAGCTGGCCCAAAAAAGCCATCATCATCATCATCATTGTCTTCATGAATTCTTTTTGGCTTTCTGCAAATACAGATTTCACTTAATAATTACCTTGACAAGCATAGCAATTATCTACATTTTAAAAAGGAAAAAAAACGACATAAAATTATTTCATAGGGTCTTCTGTACTAAATATCCTGCCGTTACCACGGAAACAGTGCAAAAGGATCCAAAATGATTTGAGGCAATTAAAAAATTGGGAGTATAAGATTCACTTCAAAATGTTCTGACATTTAAAAAAGAAAAAAAAATAAAAAACAACATTAAGAATGCTTCTGCTGTAGAAAGAAGTTTAGTATTATGTTGAAATACCATTTTCTAGTCACAAAGTAATTTAAAATTCAGTACTTCTTTCTCCATTTTTATACACTCTCTGCATTTTGAGTAGTATTTTTCCCTTTCAATTCTAATTAGCTGAAAAACTGTTGACTAAGAAAACAAGAAAAAATTGAATAAAAATTACTCTAGCACTCATTAAGATGGCATAATGGCCATCAAGTCTCTTATAAGAGGCTTAGAGCAAACACACACAAATTCTTAACACAGCAATTGTGAGTAATCAACCCAACAAATGAGAGTATCTGCAGACTGCTGTTACTTGCTAAACAATTCAGGTTTTTCTCATTAGAGTTGACTTAATTGAATGCATAAATTCATGTCCATAAACAGGTCTTAAGGCCTCTCAAAGAGAGTTAGTATACCAAAACCAGGGCAAAAACTCAAGTACCAGATACTTATGTACATGATAAGTGGTGTCTGTCCTTAGCATAAACATGCAAATTTGCAGAACTAAAATAATACATATAAATGCAGAGATCTGACTGCCCCAAATAATTTAATTCCACCCTAGGGTGTCAAACAGGTCAGCTGAACATTCTTGGCCATGAAGAACATGCAGAACATGTAATCAAAAGTTTTACACAGGTACAGAGTTTACCTTTTTTTATACAACATTATCCCTTATTCATAGGTTAGACACATTACATTTGCAATACAATTTGTAAATATACAAATAACAAAAAAACATACTCACTTGGGTGCTGGATCTCCTTCTGTCTCCTCTTCAGAATCTCTATTTGTGTCTCTGGGTAGAGGAAGACATTCTGAATCGTCATCACTGTCAGGAGTTCCTGAGCTACAGCTGCTTTTGTAGTCTGGAGGAAGTGCTGGTCCTGCAACTGAACATCCAGAGTTATTTGGGATCATAAACTCACAGAACGGTATGGATTGGAAGGGACCTTAAAGATGATCTAGCTCCAATCCCCCTGCCATGGGCAGGGAACCTTCTACTGGACCAGGTTTAATAAGGATACCTACCAAATGTTTCAAATGAGTAGGGTCTATCATGTCATTTCCAAAATACATATTTACTTGGAATTAAGCTTATTTAATCACTGTTCTCTCTAGCATTTAGAGAAGATATCTAAACAAATTTCTAGTAGTTACTTCTTTCAGCACCTTATTTCCGTCAACAACCTACCCTGAACTGTTCTGACTTAGGACATTACTAATCCTTTACTATGTGAGCATCCTCTGGAACAGAATTAGAAAGCCCCGTTTTGTGTAACAATTAATGTACAATGGATGTGGCATAAACCAGTATATTTAAAATAAATACTTTGATAAAGAATTTGAAGCTTACTAGTGGAGAAACACATCATCTGTACATACCCAGCGTGGGAGACCATAAATTATTAAATGGGACCATTTGCAACGATAAACTATTAAATTAATTGCCAGCCTGCTTTGGGAATGGTTTAATAATTAAGGTTATTCCCAGTACAGCTAAATGTGAACAGCACAGACAGATTTAAATACTCTGCTGAAAAAGGGATGATTTAGGCATTTAGAGAATGAATTCAAAGAATTTTTGCTGTCAGAAGGCCAGGGCAGTGGATGGAGCCCTCATGCCCCAGTAAAACCTTCATACTCTGGGGTAATACCTCAGCAAAATTAAAATTCAGACACTAACACTGCTAACAGGCCTGAGCTGCTTCTGGCACTGTGCCCACCAGCAGACATTGATCTTTATAGATTTATTTGGCTACAGTACCATGTGCAGTGGGTCCAGAAGCAGCTTAGCCATTGACCCTAACAGCAAATGCCCTCCAAACAGGACCCCTAAGACAGATACCCTCACAGGCTCGACCAACAAGGAGTCAGCTGGAACAAGCAAAACCCAGCAGTGGTCCCAAGGTAAGAGGCCTTCCCAATCCAGAGCAAGGCACCCATTTACACTAACACAGTACGAACAGCCCATGTTCCCATGTAATGGAGATTTGATTCTACTGATGATTTAGCATCCTGAGACACAGACACCACTCCTCCTCTTAATATCTCCAGCACTGAGTACAAGACTTGCAGGACAGAGAGGTGCTTTGGTGTGGAAAAGACATTGTTCCCTTTATGAATAGTCAAGGGTCAGATGAAAAGATAAATGGTACCAGGAAATTAGATCTCCACTTGAAGAACTACAACTTTTTGATAGTACAAAACACAACCTGATGCATTTAATGGTTCCATTGTTAGCTGACAAAGGCTAGGCAGAACTCAAATCCTTCAATTGAGCATCACAAAGCTTTTAATCATCTTTAACACAAAACAGTCCACTAGTTACAAAGCATCCAGATAGATCTGCCACTTCTTTGTTTCCTGTTTTAATGGAAAAGACTTTAACCGGGACATACAAATCCATTTCAGCACTAGGAAGGAAAAAAACCAACCAACAAACCACTTCTCTCACACCGAAAAAACCCAAACACAACGCCCTAGCCTATAAAGGTAAAATAAGTTCAAGATGAAAGGAAACAAACAGATGAATGATAAATAGGGATAAAAACTGCTATCAAGAAGTCTCCTCTTCTGGTACAAAAAGCACCACTTGAATAAAAGCACTTAAAACCCAGACAAAACCTGCACAACTGCTTTCTTCAGCCACCTGGCACCCTGACATCATGCAAGCAGACTTCATTTGCTCTAAATGCAAAAGAAAAGGAGTGGAAGGAACAAACTCAGAGATAATTTGATGAGTCTGATACTAGAGAGGGAGGGAGAAATTAGGGGAAGTTTTGTGAGCTGCACAGAACTAGTAAAACCAAAACTACTTAAGGAAGGAGACTGGTCCCACTGGTATGTAGTTCAACACCAGGGCTAACACAGATACTTTTATTCCAATTCCTCTCCATTATGTTGGCAAAACTGCTTGCATGGGCTATGCAATAAGCTGGATCAGGGAACTTAAAAGGCATAAAATTAACACTGCAAACCACAGCACTCCCCTGAAAGAACTGTTTGTTAGTGGAACTGCATCCTAACCAGGACAAACAGAAATTAAACAGAGACTGAGACTGACTAATGAAGGGAAAATGGCATTTAAAGCCTAAGGAAGAAAAAGTCATTGGACACAGTGAAAAGAAATGCAGGGGAGACTTGGGATTAAAAATTAATATGATCATGGTACTGACTGAGGCTAACAATCAGCACAGGCAAATATACAGCTGTGGATTAGGATGGTTTGGGGAGCCACAAGAAAGAGCAGAAAGGTAGGAATGGAAATTGTTAAGTGTAAATTCTGGGAGCAAAGAAAGAAAAGGGTAAGGAGGGAGTCCAAGATCTAATCAGAAGTCTGTGAAATTCCCCAAAAGCCACAGAAAAGTGGAAAAATACAGATGAAAGGAGGAACAGAGGAGAGCTCAGAGTCAGGAAACTAAACCTAATGAGGTGAGGAGGATAAATGGATGTAGCAACGGCAGAGCAACAGAAAAATGACAAAGTAACCAGAGCTCAGAACAATGGGATAAAAATGTATGAGAAGAAAATGCTGGGGATAGCGAGGAGAGAAACAGGACCAAGTGAGACTGAAGTGAATGTTTCACAGCTACTAGAAGTGATCATCCTACTAATGAAGTGGCTCTGGAGAATATCTGCCTGAAACTTAAGTCAACTCAGAAACCAAATTAAAAGCTACTTTTTGTTTTGTTATGGTTATTTCTGCTGTGTTTGGGGATTTTAAGCAAACTACCACACCATCACACATGTACTGGGAAGCTCTCAAGGACAGGCAAGGCCTTTCAGCTCCAGCACAGTGGTAGATCAAGACATATCAGTACATCTGTATGTGGCCTCAATGCTGAAACAGACAAAAAGCCCTTCTCTGGTTATTTTTAGCCATTCCCTAGCACTTTTTTCCTGCTGGCACAAGGACAGCCCAGAGGCAGGGACAAATGGGCCAAAGGAAGTAGAATTCTCCCAGCAGGAGCACAGTTAGTCCAGCTTCAAAGCAGCATCATGAAGTGAAGAATCAGGAAATGAGCACATCCCATGGGCTGGACAAGCTGAAGAACATAAAGGATTTACTAGGGATTTTGGGTCTGTCCAGCTACCATTTGCTTCCATCCCCTTCCCAACTGAGGGTCACAGAAGTATTATTAGCATCACTTCTCTGACACCATAGGCAACGTGGTTTATCTCCTGGTAAGAACACCAGTGGGTATTGTGAGACAAAGTGTCTGGATGTTTGTATCCAGAGGGGCGGTGGGAGTGGGGCTCAAAGGGGCTGAGATATTTGCTATTGACTGTGGTGCACATCAGCCTGCAAAATACTGCTGGAAACTGGGCCAACTAGTCTCCCAAGGCTGCAGACAGCTCGCAGGTGGATTTTTTCCAGAAGGAATGTATTAGCAATAAGTCTAATCATAATCATAAACAGTCACTATCCTATTTCTTGTGTCTGTCTGACAGCTTTCTCTTGTGCCTGAGAGTCTTCTCTGCCACTGCCTGCTCAAAGTCCTACTTTCTTGCTGTTGGGAGACAGAAACTATGAAAGTAGACTAAAAAAGCAAGTGCTCTTCAAGAAAAGCAATAAGCAGCTCAAATATCAGTGCAACTACTGATATTTGACATGAAAAATATTGGAAAAGCTGTTCAGCTTTAAAAGGTGAAGCATTTCTTAGAATAGTTAGAAAACACAAGGGAAATTGTTACAGAACAAATTCTAGGCCCATTTGACTCAAGACCCAGCAAGTGTTGCAGCACAGAAGGCGCTGGTGGCAGCCACACTGTGTGGTTTTTGTCACTCCAGGTGCAGGGCTCCAGATGGAGCTGTAGTTCTGTACAGCAAAGTGTGTTATGCCAAAATACTTGCTCTCCTTTCTTCCTCTGCACTGCAGCAGTTTGCCTCATGGGGTGAGCAGGGACAGTAAGCTGCTGTAAGTCAAAGTCAGAAAAAGTTTGTGAAAATTATAAAAACAATCTGCCAGTGTTTGGAGTTTTTGTTTGTTTTCAAAGGCAAATAAATTCCTTCACCCACTTCACACAGAAATTTCCAAACAGATCTTGGATCAGTTGCCAGTGCAACTGTAATACCATGGAACTGATTTACACTGGGACAGTTGAGTAACCTAGACTATACACTTCTGAAAAACCCAATGTCACAAACCAATGGCCTAAGGATAAGTTTAACTTGTTTTTTTCATACACGATACAGATAATTGCAGCATGCATCAGTATGTTGATGGAAAGTGAATAAGCCATTAACACAGATACAGCCAGGAAAGGCAGCACCAGCTCGTGCAGTCAGGGCTCCTGCAAAGCCGAGACCCAGACACAGAGCTTGACGTTGCCATGGTGTCAGATAATGCAGCAGCTTTGTCCCGCTTGCTTTTGCTCCCTCTTCTGGATTAAAAATTTAGAGAGCAGGCAAGCACAACAAACCTTTCCCACCAGAGCTGCTTTCTCTGGAGTAACTGAACAGTCAGTGACATTCTGCTAGAAACTGAATATACAAACTAGTGCCTTGAACCTGGATTAAAGGCAAGGAGTACAAACGCTCAAAATGCTGCTTCCAGAGATACTACTGACAGAGAACATGCAAGAATTTTAGTGGGGAAACTGAGCTGCACTGCAGAAGAGCCAGCCTGGCAGTCAGCTGGTCTCGGTGGGATCCCACTTCTGATGTGACGGCTCTCGCCAAGAGAGACCTTGGCAGGCAAGGCACCACAGCTCCACTGACCTGCCTGCTCCCCATCCTGAGCTACACTGCCTGGAAAACCACAGCCGATGAAGCGCCTTGGCTTGGCAAAGGAAAGCACGCTGCACAGGCCCAGCCTCCTCCCTTTCTACCCGCTAATTTCACACTTGGAGCTGCTGGAGAGCACAGGCTTCAAAGCGCACGCAAGACTTGAGCAGGATAAAACTAAGTGACTGAAAGCAGTGTTTTTGTAAAAGGAGTTTTGGAGCGTTTAGTCTGTAGCATTCCGTCGCACATGGCGCTTGTTTTTATTTTTTTCTTTTTCCTGAAAAAGTGACTGTAGTGACTCTCCCGGGGAATTCAGCTCCATCCCGGTGCCGCACTGGGCACAACCCCGCGCTGTGACACACTGGGCTGCGGAGCTCCGCCATCCCACCCACGGAGCATCCCGCGCTGTGGAACACGGCTGCAGAGCCGCTCCATCCCGCTCACAGAGCATCTCACGCCATGGCACAGCGGCCACAGGCCCCGCTCAGCCGCACGGAGCGGCCGTGCTGCGGCACAAGCCCGCAGAGCCGCGCTCGCCCGGCCCCGTGCTCTCACCCTGGCTGAAGTCCTCGCCCGGCTCGGCCTCGGCGCGGCGCGGGAAGCCGGGCGGCAGCGCGGGGCCGATCAGCTGGCGGGCCATGGCGGGGCCGTCCGCGGGCAGCCCGGCCCGCTCCGCTCCGCTCCCCTGCCCCGCCCCCGCGGCGCTCCCGGCTGACGCCACGGCCGCCGGGAAGGAGGGAGCGAGGGCGGGTTCGCCTTCCTCAGCCCGGACGTGACGCGTTCCGCGGCCGCCGCCGGCCGGCCCCACGTGGTGGTGCGGGAGCGTCGCGGAGCGGGGTCTGCACACCCGGGCGGCCTCTCCGGGCCCGACATGAACCCCTTCGCCTGGTACCCGCCGCCCCCGCCGGGGCTGCCTCCGCCGGGCATCCCCCCGCCCTTCTTCTGCCCGCCGCCCTCCTGGGACACGAGCTTCTGGGCTGCCCCCGTGCCCTACCCGCCGCCCGACGGCGCCTACGCGTCCGCCGACACCTACTCGCAGCCCAAGAGCTACTCCCAGCCCGCCGAGTCCTACTCGCAGCCCGCCGACAGCTACTCGGATCCCGCCCAGAGCATCCCTCCCGCCGACAGCTACTCCCAGCCCGCCGAGGGCTACCCGGCGGCTCAGAGCTACCCGCAGCCCGAGGGCTTCCTTCCCCCTCCCGGCTACACCGCGCCCGCCGCCTGGTTCCCGCCGGCCTACGGAGCGCGCCCGCCGGGCCCGCACCACGGTGAGGGGCAGGGCAGAAACCCTCTCGGTCCGTGCGCTCCTTCCCATCCCATGCAGGCAGGGGCTCCGGGGCTGTCCTGAGCCCCTGGGGCAGTCCTGAACCCTTGGGGCAGTCCTGAACCTTTGGGGCAGTCCTGAGCCCTTGGGGCAGTCCTGAGCCCTTGGGGCCGTCCTGAGCCCCTGGGGCAGTCCTGAACCCTTGGGGCAGTCCTGAACCCTTGGGGCAGTCCTGAGCCCCTGGGGCAGTCCTGAGCCCCTGGGGCCGTCCTGAGCCCCTGGGGCAGTCCTGAGCCCTTGGGGCAGCCCTGAGCCCTTGGGGCAGTCCTGAGCCCCTGGGGCCGTCCTGAGCCCCTGGGGCAGTCCTGAGCCCCTGGGGCAGTCCTGAGCCCCTGGGGCCGTCCTGAGCCCCTGGGGCAGTCCTGAGCCCTTGGGGCAGTCCTGAGCCCTTGGGGCAGTCCTGAGCCCCTGGGGCCGTCCTGAGCCCCTGGGGCCGTCCTGAGCCCCTGGGGCAGTCCTGAGCCCCTGGGGCAGTCCTGAACCCTTGGGGCAGTCCCGAACCCTTGGGGCCGTCCTGAGCCCTTGGGGCAGTCCTGAGCCCCTGGGGCCGTCCTGAGCCCCTGGGGCTGCAGGACTCTCCTCCAAGCATATTGGCCATGCAGCCCTCTCTTACCTCTTCCCTAGATCCTTCTCTGTTGCCCACCGAGGTAGGAGTGGGGAGGGTTTTAACTGTGAATGGCTCATTCTTTTTTTTTTTTTTTTCCTCTGTTCTGAAGGCGGGAATGGTAATTTCTCCCAGAAACGGCAGGGCAAGCAAGCGCCTACATTTAGTAAACATTGTCCGGAAGAAAATAACAAGCCAAAGGTATGGATTGGGGTCCCTAGTGCAAGAGCGCCATGTATGTGTTGGCATGGATCCGGGAAAAGGCCACGAAAGTGATTAGGGGGTGGAGCACCTCTCCTGTGAAAGCTGAGAGCTGGGGTTGTTCAGCCTGGAGAAGAGAAGGCTTCAAGCAGAACCCTGCATCATCTTTTCAGTACTTTGAGGGAACTTAGGAGAAAGGGACAGACTTCATAGTACAGCCTGCAGTGATAGAACAAGGAGTAATGGTTTTAAACTAAAGCAGAGTAGATTTAGATTTGACATAAGGAAGACTTTTTTTATTACAAAGAGGATGAGATACTGGCACACATTGCCCAGAGAAGCTGTGACTGGCCTGTCCCTGGAAGTGCTGAAGGCCATATTGAATGGGGCTTTGAATAGCCTGGTCTAGTCAGAGATTGTCCCTGGTGGGGGGATTGGAACCAGATGATCTTGGAAGGTCCCTTCCCACTCAAAACCATTCTGTGATGGTGTCAGTCTTATGGGACTTGTCCCAAGGCACTATAGAGATCCCATAATCCTGTTGGACTTGCTTGCCCTTAGAAGAGAGCAAATAGTAACAGTCTGTAACTCTTGAAAGATATGTGTAAACCAAATTCCTACACAAGTTTATGTCATTTAGTGTGGTGATGCCCAACTGCCTAAATTACACTAGTGCTCTGTTAGATGGTCAAGTTCAGCCCAGATGACACTGATGTGTGTAGTGAGAGAAGGCAGGGTCTGTGCTGCCCTCTGAACTTGTACCTGTCATGGTAGAATGGTCATGGTCTGGCTTGGTAGGGGAGAGACACAGGGCTTCAGCCTAAATCTCACAGCCCTTGTGAAGTCTGTGCCAGCAGACTCGTGTGTTTGCAGAAGCAGTAATTGATTGAAAGGTGGTAGTGGGAAGAGCTGTGTGCAGGGCACTGTTTAGAAGATAAGTAATTGAAACTTAACTTACATATTATGTTAGCTTGTCTTTGAAACTTTTGAAACATGTAACTGCTTTATTAACAAAAATACAAATAGTGTTTCATAACTAAAAACAGGAATATCTTATAACTGCAATCCTGAGATTATTTCTTCTTCTTTTTTTTTTTTTTTTTCAGACCAGAAAAAAAAAAGAGCCAGTTTTCTCTCATTACTGTGATACCTGTGACCGTGGCTATAAAAACCAGGAGAAGTATGATGAACACATTTCACAGCATAAACAGGTTAAGAAGTTTGGCTTCTTTTATTCACACTTGGATTTTTAAATTTCGGCCTGACAAGCAGTTAGCTGTAGTTACTCTTTGAACAGAAGACACAGAAAAGAGATTCCAGAGCTAGTCAAGTGTTACTGGGGGATTTTTTTCTGAATGCTATACATAGGGCAGGCTTCAGTTGTATTTTTGGTTTTATTACTGGAGCATTTTAAACTGTTTTTCTTGCAAAGTATTACTAAGTCATAGGAATTAATTAATTGACACCACTATAGCATGTACAGGTTTTGTGCAGAAACATTTTGAAAATTTCCTTTATTGAAAAGTATGAAAATTTGCAAGTATCAAAATTGAAGAGTCTTGCAAATCTTTATTTTAGATAAACTTTGCTTTCTTTTCAGTTGTCAGATATGTTGCCTACACTGGTTATTCTAAAACCAGATAAAATTTAAAAGTACTTTATTCCTGCTTGCTGTTTTTACAATCACTTTTGTTAGCAAACAGGGTAACTTACACAGCCTGTGCAAAAACTGTACAAGCAACTGGCACTGAATTTATTTGAAGTGTGCTCAAAAGCCTGTTTATAACTTACGTAAACTGTTCTATGTTTTATGTTCACCCTCTTATCTTGCAGTGCTCAGAAGAAGGTTGCAATTTCAGTGCCCATGAGAAGATCGTTCAGATACACTGGAAGAATGTAGGTAACCCTCTGGCCCCGAAATATGAGTCTGTGCCATCTTTACCATAGCCCCTTTTCTTATTCTTCAGTGGTTTCTTTTCTCGTCTGGAAAGAAAATGTATCACCTCTGAGGAAAATTTGTTTCAAGGCAATTTTGTGAATGAAAATGTGTTAAATACTGTGGGGTTTTCTTAATGGATTCACTTTATCATCTCTGTGTGGAGTCTCACCAGTTTTGGAGATGAAAGCAGTGTTGATACCACTATACCTGACATAATGATGTTTTCTTTTTTAACTTGTGGTTTTTCCTTCCCCTTTTAAATACCTCTGAAATACTTTTTCCTTAGGCACATGCACCTGGTGCTAAAAGAATAAAATTAGATAGTCCAGAAGAGATTGCTAGATGGAGAGAAGAAAGAAAAAGGTAAGACTTGTGGCCTGTGGATTTTACTGTATTTTCCCTGTGGGAGCATGAGATGACAACTGAAGGTCAGGAGCAGCACATAACTTGCTGTTTCTGCTGTTCCATTGACCCTGCAAAACTCCTGCAGCAGTGATCTGTATCAGAATGCTTGAGCCAGAAGAGTGTGAGCTTCAGAGATTATAATAATTTAGAAGATTATAATAGAAGGCAAGGTATCAGCTGAGAAGGAAGCAGCTTTCCAAGATGTTTGATGTGGTATCCCAGGTTAGGTGAATGTCTCATTCCTTTTAGCCTCATCACAGATCACATTTTAGCTCAGGAGTGTTTGTGTGGTGGTTTTTAATAGTTTAAAAATCTGGAACTGTGGTTTTTAATAGTTTAAAAATCTGGAACTGTTGTACTGATTATAACTGTAATACTGTGTGCAGATTTCCCCAGCTTAAGTTGTCCCAGTAGACCACACCAGGGAGTTTTCCTAATTTTTTAAGGGCTTTCTGTGTTGCTTGATGCTTTTCTAGTGAAAGAGAACAGAAACCATGAATGATACATTCTCAGGCAGTCTATCTTGCATTGTATGCAGGATGCAAGATAAAATTCTCCTATAAGCAGTATTTCTTGCTATTTCTTATCCTGTGATGTAACAGAGTGTAACTTTTGTCTTGACTGGGATTCAAGTATTTATCTCTCAGATTTGTTTCTTTTTCCTTCAGAGTTCAATGGATTAAAATCCACATTTTCCCTGCAGGAGAAAGATGCTGCAGGCTTTCCTTACATATATTGATAATTTAGAATATAGTTCTGGAAGTGATCAGGGCGTGAGTTCTGTTTCCACGAGCAAGAGTCCTATGTGTGGAATGGGAAATGATATAAATTTAATTTTGAGATCAGTGGTGATGAGCTAGGGCAGTGTACTAGTCACGTGGATTTTTTTTAGTGAAAATAAACCCCAGTGGTCTGATGGAATCCTACTGATGTATCCACCTTGCATCCACATCAGAAGGCATTGCTAATGTGTTCTTGATTTGAACTTCACTTCCCTTAATATGTTTTTACACTGTTTTGTTGAAAAAGAAAAATGAATGGAATTTATTGCAGAATTTTTTAACTGCCTCCCACCCATTTTTTCCTGTGTGGAGAAGCAAAATTTCTCCCCATATAATTTAATTCTTGGAGGTTTCAATTTTTCTTTGGTCATGGTTTCAGCTTTTTCTCAAATTTCAGCAAATCTCCAAAAGGCAAAAGGAAATCTTACCACTGTGTCAGCACATCATAGCAGTCAACTGTTGCACCTGCTTTTCATTTTTTACAAATCTAAATAATCCATATGTTCTTTAAAAAAAACAAAACTTTTTTTGATACAGAAACAGTTTTGAAATGCCTTCATTAACTGGACAAAAATTGGTTGTGATCTGTGCAAATATAAGTTTGGTGCTAGATTAGGCAAGTTTTGGTGCTAGATTAGTTTTCCTTCCATGGTTTCCTTTTATTCAAAAGATGCTTGGTTTTTATTTATATATTCCTGTTGTGATGTGGTTTTTTCTTTTATGACCTGATTTTCTAATGGTGACCTCAAGGAAGACGATCCATATTCATAGCCAGTCTCTGAGAGAGTCTTTGCTACTCATTTTCAACTATTTATACACTTCTCTGCTTTGGGAAGTACTGAGGAGAGTTCCTGTCTAGCAACTGATGCTGAGGTTTTAAGTGTTGAAATGGTGTTTAAGGTGTATATGTCAGTATGTGCTCTACTGGAACATTAGGGAAGTGGGAATGGAACTTAAAATTATAGATAATTTTTGTGTGGAGTGGGTGCTGCAAATCACATCAGCCTTTATCTGCAATTAATTGTAAGGGTGATGCTGAGGTGCTGAAGGATCTCGTGTTGGTTCTATAGGTGAATATGATTAGGCTGTGATACAGCATTGCTGAAAGACTTTGCTCTCTGCGGCACCGTAAAATCAAAGGACATGAAGTCTCCTGGTCACAGCCACCAACCAGAAAAGAGGGAATGGGATTAGGAGTGTCTGAGCCAAGGCCACTAGATGGAGTAGTGCCTTATCTTGGTACTTCAGGCCTTCTGTGGGCATCGTATTTAGCTGTGATGGATGGGTGTAGAATGACTACCTGGGTGGCTTTTGTTACTCTTTGTACAGTGAAGAAGCTCTATGAGCATCCTTCTTTTTTTAATTAAAAAAAAGGGGGTGGGAGGCAGGCAGAGAGAGAAAGCCAGCTGGAACTTTTGTGCAGCATTAATTGGGTCACCAGCAAAGCGTCAGTTTAGTACTGAAGATCTGCTGTTGATTCACAGTAAACACTGCATTGTACAGAAAAAAGGGACACCAGAGGGAGTCTTAGCTATTAAGCAGTTTTGGTTTATGGTGACAGGAAAAAACCTTTTTCTTTCTAGAAGTTCCAATCAGAGCTAAGAATGAATCTTTTTAGGTCATTAATAGTTTGTTCCTAATTAGGTTGCAGTGATTTAATATGTGTTTCCATGCTGCATCCTGTCTTGCTTGTTCTTTCAGCCATTATAAATAATTACTTGCAGAGTTGAGATTTTTCTTTTTAATTAGCTGCTGTGTTGCTCAGTTGTGTATCCTGCTTAAAATCTTCAAGAAAGAGCTTGTGTTTAAAATGTAGCCTTACTCTCACAGAGGAAAGAGGAGGAGGAGAGCTGGTAAGGAGTATGTCTGGATGAAGCATGCTGGATTGGAATGCTGTTTTCCTGTTGAACCTGCTGAGCCAAGAAATCTAATTAAGTTGAAGTTCCATGGGATCTCAGGGTTTCCCTATGTTTTGCAGACAGATGGTTGTGAAGTCTGACATCAGCTTTTCTTGTTTTGATTTGTCCTGTCCCTTCCAAGTGTTGAGAAATGTGCTGTCTTCAGCATATTTTTTCTTTAACATGAGCTTAAAGAGAATTATCTGCAATGCATTTTCTTAATGTGTCAGAATGAGGTATTGCTGTCTTCCCTACTCCACAAGTGAGATCTGGGTCCTGCCAGCCCATCTGTTTCTCACCAACATTTCTTGAGCAATGCTTATTAGTAAGAATGTGGCAAGGCTGCTTTAGCCTTAAAGGGAATCATTAAATTTATTTTTGCTTAGCTTCTAATATAACATTGGGGGGTTTTCTTGAGGTTGTGTGTTGTAAATTATCCCCTTTCTGGCCCGCTTTCTTTATTTTCTTGGCATTGGTTTGTTCAGATAGGAATTGTCCATTTTATTTCCTTGCAATACATCTCACAGGCTGAGCATGTGCTAGGTGCTTGAAGTCCAGTACTGTTAAGCACACCACTTTTAATTAATTTGTGGTTTTCTAGTTGCATAATGATAATCCTAGAGTAGATGGGAATCCTCCCTGGTGTTGTGTTAATAGTAGTGAAGAATAGCAGATGGAAAATAATTCTTGTGACTTGGTAAAGGAGAGAAGACAAAGCAAAGTAGAAGGGATGTGCCAGCAGGTCAAGGTAAACATAGATACAATAAAGTTTACTCTGATCTTTTGGGATAGATTAGCAATGAAACTACCTCAGCTAACATATGGTTAAATCAGATGTAGGAAAGTTAAGCCAAGATTTTATCAGCTCTGTTGGGTCATTTTTGTTCCCTTTGGGCTATCATGTCTCCTTTGCTGTTGGCTGTGTATATGCAATTAAGACCAGCTCAAGAAATTTTTGAGGCATTTTGCTCATAGTGCTGTTCCTATTAAAATGATGAACTTGTATAACTCTTGACTCAGGAATTCATTGTATAAACTGCTATAGAAACAGGTCTCTTTTCTGTTAGAAGTTTGCAAAGCTCTGTTTCTTCACTCACTAAGAGCTACTTTACTTCAATGTTTATGAGAGCAAGATGAAGTATGCTAGCCTGTAAAAAAATGCATGGCTGTGGCTAGTGTGCTCATTTATTAAAAAAAAAAAATCTATTCACTAAGACACATGTGTTATTGATTATGCTCAGTGTCACTGTTCCCTGTCTCTAGAAGCTTTAGGGTATCCTTTCCCTTCATGTCTCATTTTGTTGGGATATATTTAATATACTCATTTTAGCCTGAAAAGCAATTGTCTGATAGTATCGATTTATTTTGAAAAACTTTGGACTGTAGAAGTTTGTACTGTTGGGAGCTGCAACTGCTATGAAAGAGGGCTGCCTTCTCAGGCTGTACTGGCTTCATGAAGTCTGCTGTGCCAGACTATCACATCCTAGTTTAACTCTCCCTTTTGCAGTATGTTGCTTAGGTTTATAAAGCCCTGTGGGGACTGATGAAGCTGTTTCTATTCAAGCTATGACAAGTTGTTTGGAAGGCGTAAGTGCTGGGGTACTTCTGCTTCAGTGGTGTTTGTAGGTAACATTTTAGGAACATCATTTTCTTAGGAGAGGTGGAAGGCTTGCCATCTTAGAAGGGTGCAAACCCAAGTCAGCTCTTGGGATTTAAGCATATCACCTTTTATGTGGAGTGGCTCAGTCAGGAAAGACATGAGGTAAAGGCAGTGAGTAAAATGCCATTTAACATTTGAGAAGAGCTGGAGAAAATAAACACAGCTACTACAGATGCCTTCAGATGTGCTTCTGCAGGCATACTGGGACTTGTGACTTGAGCTCTTGCCAGCTGTCAGTTACTGCCTGTGTCAGCTGGAAGGGTGGTTTAGGAGAAATCTGTCAGTCTTGGCAGTTAAATGGAACTGAGAGCCTTGGTGCAGTCCATTACGGTGGCTCATGGAGGGAGTGGTAACGCGCAGGAATGAAAGTGGGAGGCATTCATGTCTCAAATCATGTTGAGAGAGCATGTCTGAATATGTCCTTAATCAGCATAAGTGCTGGAGCATTTGAAGAGTCCTTTGCTCTAGTATTTAGGGTCTTCCTGTATATTCAAAACACCCTCCCCCCCTGCAATCTCTACAATAAGCCTGGGGATGTTTTCAGCATAACTACTTGTTTTATGGCTTGCTGTCCTCCTGGGAGCCTTTGTGTTTGAAGGAAAGCACCTTCTCCTAAAACTGCAGGGCATAGGGGTCTTTGTCAGTGCAAAGCTTTTGAGATTAAAGAGTTCATTGCACATTTGCTAGGTGCTGAGAGTGTTGTAACATGGATGAATAAATCTAACTAACAGGGAGGAGCAGAGGTAAAACATCACATCCCTGTGCTCACTTGAGCTGTATGGCAGATTTCTGGGAGAAATCCAAAGAAAATAGATGTTGACAGCTCATGTTCAAATCCTCTTAAAGGAGACAAGTTCTGTAGTATGTTTAGATTTGTCTTGTAGAAAATGTTTCTCTTTTTCCCTTGGTATGTGGTTGAAGCTGTCTTGAATCAATGTGACACTTAGCATTCATTCTGTAATATGGGGAAAATGCATGTGATAAGATTAAATATTTAAAGAAAGATACATGTCTTTTTTGATAGCTATTTTTAGTGAGAAGCTGTTCTATGTTTCTCTTTACTCCATTTTAATAGGCATAAAGTATTTATTCTTCATGTTTCTATCCAGAAGATGGGGGAGCATGTGCATGGGTTTCTCATTTACTACCTTTATCTCAAAGCATTGACATTGAGTTAACTGATGTTTACAGAGCAAGGAGTGTAGCCATTTCTGGGCTTTGATGGTAAAAAGCGTGCTGCCCAGGCTCTGCGTGTTAGAACCAGCGAGGCATTTGTCTGGATGGAAGTATGTTAAGGGAGGTGGGGAATTGAAGAGATGCGATGGTTTGGGAGATGATTGTAACAGTAGATTTCTTTTCATCTGCATGATTTGGCAATTTTTCTTGAACCTGGAATTAAAAAGGGGCAGTAATTCTGGTGAACTTGGTCAGTGTGCAAGCACAATGCTAAATATGACTCAAGAAGGAATTTCTGTGCTTTTCTCTGTTACATTAAGGAATCTTGTGCACCCAGAAGCTCTTCATATAACCTTTAATTTTTTTAAGTTTACAAGAACTGATCAGTTAGTTTGCTAAAAACATGTCATTCAAATAATCCAATTGAAGCTCCATAAAATAATATAGGAGGACTAAATCATGCTGTTACGTGCTAGGGAAAAAGGAGTGTCCATGACTATAAACAAACTGTGTCTGTACCATGTTGTTTGGTGGTATGGTAAATCTAAGAATGCTAATGTGATAGATTTTTAGTTTTTGAATTTTGTTTTTGTTTTATTCATTGCATCTGGATATGTAAGTCTAAATGTACTCATGTTTCTTTTCCTCACTAATGCCTTTTTAAGAAAGAAGCAGTCAGTTGAACTTCCTTGAAACTTTCTTAAAATCTGTAATGTTTATAGAGGAAGCTGATTTGGTAAAGGGGGAATTGAGAAACTACAGTGAATCCTTTAAGTGCCAGTTGAAACTATTTTTTTCTTCTAGAAATTTTCCTACTTTGGCAAACATTGAAAGGAAGAAGGAAATGCAGACACAGAAGGAGGAAAGGGGAGAAGTGCTGACTACCCAGCAGTTTGGGTAAGTGTTTTGAACCAAGCCTGTTGCTTTCCTCCCACTGAGTTCAAAAGTATGCTCTCTTACTGTGGACTCCCAGAACTTGCTGCTTCCACTATATTCAGAATCTGGCTGCCCTTTAAGAGAGGATAGGCCATTTGGCAAACTGCTGATGTAATATTCTTTTGTTTACTTCATGGTGCTCCAAAGTCCACTTCAGTTAAATGAAACAATAACTACATTAAAAATCTGGTATTCTGGCTTGTTTGAGAAAACCACTTTTCTGGTGGCCATTCATTAGATCAGCATAACATTGGTCTCTGAAGTAGTAATGGGGACAAAAGTCATGCAACATAATGATTCCAAATGATTTAATACTTTATTACCTGAAAATGGCCAACAGAGGTTTTATTCTTACCTTTTCTCCTTTCTGTTATTAAATCAGTAGTCAAGTTAAGAAGGGAAAAAGATAAAAATGATGGAGGGTAGAAAAAAGAAGCAGCACTACATAAGTTATAACGAAAACTATATTAAAATAAAGTTTAATCTATCTGCTACCATTGTACTGAGTTAGTGCTTACTCATCTTGGATTTCTATCTGTTCATTGCCTTATGAATTATTTTCCAGCATGGTTTTTTGTTCTTCTCTCTCAGTTTCATTGTTAGGTTGAACCAGCTAACTTCATTAGCTCTGCTTTAGGATCTGTGGGAAGATTGTGTTTTTTTAAAAAGATGTTATAATGAGCCACACTCTTAAAATATCATTTGTTTAAACTAGTATGACTGAGCTGGAAGGCAGGAACAGACTTGGTCCAAAGGGGCTTTTGCTAAATGCTGTTTTCTGATGCATGGAAGTGCAGCTGGGGTTTGCCTAGCTTTTGTGTAGGGGATGAGAGCAAACAAAACAAAACTTGCACCATAGTAAAATGGTTGAGTTAGTGCAGAATAAGAAGTTAGTGTAATTTATTAAATATGGACAGTGCAAATTACCTTGTTGCAGCATGTTCTTTAGAACATCCAGCGCTTGCCTGCCCCCACTCAACCAGTTGCCTTTCATGACTGAAAGGTTTATAGAAGACTGAAGTAAAACTCCCTTTAAAGGATATAAAGTTGCAGGAGTGCTTTGCACCCAAGGAACCAAACCTAGGCATTGAAACTAAAGTTGCAAACTTTTTATTGTATATATATGTGGATATATATTATGACATTTCTTTGTCACAGTAACAAAGTACAGGTTTTATTTGCTGACTTTTGTGACTGTGAGGCAGATGCATCAAGTAAGTCTTAAATTTCCATCAGCAATTCCATGCTGTTACATTTATTAGTAGGTTTATATCTGGAAAACTGGAAAAAAAAGCCCTCAAAATTGCAGGTTCTTTACTTCTGCATAGCAACTTTTTATTCTAGTTCATTCTAGAAACCTCTTCTTCCCTCCCTCCCCTTAGCACTCTAGACTGGGTGAACTGTCCATAATCTGTTGTTTCTGCTTTGTATATCAGCAGTAAAGATTCTGGAATTGGTACTTATCTGGCAAATTTACTGATGTGTGAGGAAAAAATAGAATACAGCCTGTTCCCTGCAATCTGCACTATTAAATAGCTAAGTAAGATTTAGAAAGGATTAGATGCTTAACACTTCCATTGTGCTTTCCATTTGTGGTTGTTGAAAGTGCTTTGCAACTCCTCTGTCTCAGCATCCCTGATGAGAGATGCAGGAGGAGCGCTTTGGAAGCCTGTCTGTCTCACAACACTTGAATAATAATGCACAGCTCTCCATGCCCTCTGAATGGAGAGTGAAGAGCAGGATGTCTTCCAAGGGAATGGCAGAAGGCAGATACCAGGCTGATGTCTGTTGGCACCTGTTTTTGACCTTGGGGTTGCTTTCTGGGTGTTTGAGGTCCCAAAGAATTTAGAAAGTAGTTTTTAACTCTTGGTCAAGGACAACAGCTTTAATTAAGCCTGTATTTGCTCAATATCTTCTAGGTTGTACAACATGTTGAATTTAGAGCATGGTTGTACAAATTGAGAAATGCAGTTTTCTTTCTTCTTGGAGTTGAATCATAGGAGATAATATTAGCCTTCTTTTGTGGGTGAGGGACTGATGCACAGGAAGGCAGTGGTTTGCCACTTGTGCCACAGGAACACTGTCGTGGGTGATGCCGTCAGGGATGAGCAATCAGTGTTAGACACTGTCGAAAAATGAAATTGAGAATGAAATTAAAAATGTTTTGTTGTGATATAAAGTCATCCTGAGTGCTATGACAGGCGCTGTTCTCTTCTAAAGGACTTGATGAAGCCAGAAAAACATGGAAGAGAGGAATGCTGGTAATGGAAAAATTTCTGAACAAACAAAGTAGTGGGTGGCTTGAAATGACTGTGTGATGGAGGCCTAGAAAGATTGCATAGGTGGAAGAGGTGAATAAAGTGTAATTAATTATATGCTGTTTCTTGTAACTCAAGAAGGATGGGGTACTAAATGACTTGTTTAGACCTCAGAATTAAGACAAACAAATAGAAGTCCTTTGTCATGAAATATTAGCACCTTGCTGTGAGATTTTAGCAATGCGAGACATAAACATAGCATCCCACATGAGAGATGATAGGATCTCAGCCATTCTGTAAGTGAGGCTGAGACAGGGAGGACTGATCAGAACCAACCATGGGGCTCATTCAGAACAGGAGATCTTGTATAGTTTTTGCTGTTGTAATGTACTGATGATTAGTTACAGTCCTGTTTTGCTGAATTAAGTTTCTGTTCCTTGGAAATAAATATTTCCAGGAAGCTTCAACTGTCCCTTCCATATTTGCTTTTCTCTCTGGGTCACATTTATTCTTGTATCTATAGAATTCAACCAGAGTTTGTTAAGCTTTCCAGGTATATTCCTATCAACATGTGTTTATAGGATAACCTGGAAGATAACAGAGCTGTGAAAGATAAGTGGAACCAGCATGCTGTGCTCTTCCTGTACTTCAGGACTTGTTTTGTTTCACGTTTTGAAAAATGCATTATTTTAATGGACATTTCTTTTATTTCTTTTACTTGGAATGGAAAAGATGAATGGCATGTTGGTTGGAGGCGGGAGTAGGTAGTCATTGCAGCTGATGGTGTCAGATGGCTGAATGGATTTGGTGCAGCAAGATACTTCTCAGAACTCTAAGAAAAAAAGACTTCAGCAGTGAAAGAATGTTTCTAGTAGATGCTTTCCTTTTAACTTCATGTTGCCACTGGTTTGAATGACTTTAATGCTTAAGTTAAGAGAGTATTTGTTGACTTTATCTGAAATTAAAATGCCACATCCTCACACTGCAGGTTATTGAGGAACTTTCTTACCCTTGTACCCTTGGCCTTGTTGAAAACTAAAAACTAAAAGTCATGAGCTTCAAACTGTTCATTCAGTTCTTGCTTTGACCCATTGCCCTGCCTGAGATGAGGTGTGACTGATTTTATGGTCTGTCACCTTGTGTGTATCTGAACTGGTGTAAGTTCTGGCATCATTCTGTGTTGCTGAACCTTAAACAAGGGCCTGAGCTTTTTGGTTACATCAGTTGTTTTTATTGTCATGGCTTATCATCTGTATGAGCTTTCTGTTTCTATTCTCCAGCAAAATGAAGGGGATGTGGAAACCTCCAGAAAATGGAGAGGCTCTTGGGCATCAACGAAGACACAGGAGAAGACAATGGCGCCCATTCTGGAAGAAATTTAAGAAAAATGGTGGTGATTATCATGGACCTAGACCTCAAAATGAAGCCAATGGACCAGAAAACAGCACATGTGAAAAGGAACAGGAAAAGCAAAATGCTTTGGCAGACCAAGCATATGAGAAAGACATGGACCCTCTTGGTCTCCTGGCAAATGGAGATGTCGGTAAGATGAAGGAACTTTAAGAAGTTGTATTTTAAACAGTTGTTTTAAGTTTAGATGCTGAGACTTCGTGCTTGCTAGTCATCATTTTGGAAGTATGACATGAAATTTGTGTGCAGCGTTACATGTTCTGATGTAAATATTGTACAGTAGTCTAAAGGCCATTGCAGAACCAACTTAGGTTGCTAAATTAAAATGTGAGATAAGAAAATATTTATGATACCAAAAACTGAAGTATTTCAACAGCGAAATTATTTTAAAAGTCTGTTAAATATCCATTTGTGGTTTTGAAACAAACAGTATTTAGAAAGTGAAAACAAATGGATTTCCTTGTACGAGTTAAGTGAAATTACTTAAAATGTTGGTATTTTAATTCTGTTCTTTGCTGTATTATTACCCTTGATATTTTCCATATGTGTGTGTTCTCTGAAGTATTCCTGCTTGTTTTTTGGGGGTTTGGTTTGGGTTTTTTTTTTTTTTTTTGTTTGTTTGTTTTTTTCATGAGCATGTCTTGTTTCCTCATGCTGGCAGCAATATAAATCCTTCAGATCTAACTATTTATAATATAGTCAGCAGTGATGCAGTACTCCTAGAATATGACATGTAAGCTGGTTTACACTCTGGTTATTTTTAATAACAAGGGTAGAATAGATTCCCTGGAAAGATAGTCTCATGCTGCATTTTTCCTCTTGAAAACATAATCTTCAATTAGTGAGAAGAACTCAACATACCTATGCAATTTATTTATTCCAATTATCTTTGAGTGTTGGGAAACTTAAGTATGCTTAAATATATCTATATTTCCCTGTAGCATCTGTTTTACTTAATGATAAAAGGTCTAATTATGCCAAAGTACAGCTAGTGACCTCTGTTATAGTAGGTAGAAAAGGAATGTGGTACTCTCTTATTACACAATATTAAAGCTAGTTGCAACTTTTTATACAATTGAGAAATATAGCCAGAACAAATAATGACAAACACAATATAACTAAGTAGAATAAAAAAATACCGCCCAAATCAATGATTTTGCTGTATAGATGCATCTTTTTAATTCTCTTTTTTTTTTTTAATTCCCCCTGATTGGCTTCTAAATTCTTCTCCTCCATCTCAGAACTAAATCCAGCAAGACTTCAAAACATATTATGAAATGCTCTTTCTCTTTACCTACACTTGATAACAAAACTTTTAATTATATTTGTATATATATTGTATGCAAAGAAGGAAGCAGAAAGCTCAAGCTTGTGTTCAGGAAACTTTTTGTTTCAGTGGCTTTGCTGGCAGGACTATAAACAGTGGAGGCACCAGTTTGTCACCACTTATCTGTAGAGGGTAGACAAGTGGGGGGGTTTTCCATCAGTCCAGCATTGAGCAATGGTGCCCAACATCAGGTTGTGTGGTGCTGAGCTGGGGATATGGTGGCAAGGCTGGCTTGTTGGCAGGATTGATGGGAAAAATCCCTCTTGCCTTTTCTTTGCCTGCAGAATCTGACAAGGATGAGGCAGCTGAGGAAGATGGCAGACTGGGAAGGACGGTTGTCCCCAGGCAGGTGACCTCTGCCCTTAGCGCACTGTCGGTCAACTATGGCAGCGCATCCGACAGCGAGCCCGAAGGTGTGTAGAAACAACTTCTGCCCTTCTCCTCTCCCCTTCTTCCCTGTGTCACACTGCAGTGACAGGGACTACTAGCAGGACTGTGGCTGTTTTTGCTGTCCTTTTCTCAGCAACATGTCCTGGGTTGAGAAAGGAGGCATAAAATGTCTTTGATTAAGTTGTGTGTCATCAGATTTCCCAAGCCTTTTCTCTCCTAGTTGGGGGAAAATAAGGAACCTGTTTTCAGTCTTACTTCAAATCATGTTTGAATAGTACCAGGAAAAAGCTGGTATTGTCAATCCATGAACTAATTTCCACATCCTTAAGGGATTTTTCCATAGATGGCTGCTGGGTGTTGCAGTAGGATTTGAAGTCTCTGTTACTTGGATTTTGTGCTTCTCTCAAGTGTATGCATCAGTGTGTGGTGAGGAATTGCTGCTGCTGCTTGTTTTTCTGAATATTTACTATGTCTTACTTGCCGTGGGTGGCCTACCCAAAGTTAGAGAGCATCTAGCAGACAGTGAATTGAGCCTGCGTATCCTCTGCCCTAACTTTATCATGATTTTCTGAGCAGCCAAATTTGCAGCAAACTATAATGTGAAGCAATGTACTTCTTAAGCGATAAGAAGGCAGAGGTTTGAAATTCTCAATTACTTTTATTTTTGTTTTTGTGCTGTAGAATTGTTTTCTACAGCACAAAAATACCTTGTTTTCCTTTCTGTGAATGTTTATAGATTATTCTTTGTATTCAAAAAGAAAACCCAAGCTAAACAAAACCCTCCCTTCCTCCAAGTAAACACTGAACATCTTCATGTCAGGTTGTGTGAGCAAGAATAGTACTAATGAACTGCCAGTGCATAGGGATATGAGCATGTTGAAGAGGCTTTTAAGTTTGAGATGAAAGTGTGTTCTTTTTCTTTAAGAAATCCCTGTCAAGACTGCAACAAAAGCTGAGAAAAACCAGGCTGTGCTCAGGAATACACCTCAAACTACTCCTGCTCCTCAGAGTCGGAAACCAAATCAAAATCACCCAGAATGCGCAGGCACAACGTTAAGGAGCTCGAATTCAAATGCACGTCCCCCCAGAAGGCCTGATAAGCGGGGCAGGAAAACATTACCTCGCCTTCCCAAGCGCCGTCCAACTCTGCTGGAAATGGTAAGAGGCTAAAATAATGCCTCCTGTGCAAGAGTAGAACTATTTGTGAATGTTTCTCTTCTTTCCTGTAGGAAGTTAGAGCAGTCTGTTAGCACAGGGCCTGGCTTAAAAGTGGGCGTTTAACTTAGAGAAGCTGAAGATGCTTTAATAGACAAATAGAAATACCCTGGCATGCATTCAGGTAACAACTGACTTTTGTCTGAAATGAGCTGCACAAGGAACAAGCCCTTTGTTCCTGTCTCTTACCTTCCCTGTGGCAGTATTTATAGGTTTTGATAATGAATAATTGCAGCAGCCATGATCTGATCCTTTTGTTCCCAGCTTTGCTCTTCACACCTTCCTCTGCTGGAGGAGCACACAGATCTTTTTGCACATGCAAAGAGATCTTGTTGAGAAGTGTGTTGGTGACTTAAAATACAGAGTGGTGTTTAGCCGCAGCCTGCTTGCAGAAGGAGTTTCTTCTCTAGGCATATTTAGATCAATCTGAGGAAGGGACAGCACTTTGAAGAGCAAAGCTTGGTGTCTTTCTTTAGAAAGCTCTAACAAAACCTTGGAGCTTTTATTGTATTTATTACTCAAAAGCAGTACTACTCTTGTGAGTCTATAAATGACATAAAGCTCCTCCATCAAGGGAAAACTTGCAGTGGCAAAACACAGGAGAAAGCAGGGTGCCACTGACATCAGAGCTCTGAAATAGCACAGGATGTTTCAGCAAGAGATACCTGATAAGGTATGTCCCGAGCTGCTGATGATGGGAGAAATCCCTCAGTAGTCTTTTTAACACATAGCACCATTGTTGCCAAGAATTAAAGTTCTAGTGACTGAAAAGGAAATATTTGTCCTTTGTGTAGCTCCCTAAGCATGCAGTTGCCTTTATCACTTGCTCTTCAAAGTTTTTGGTGATCAAAGCAGTGATGACTCTGGAAGAAAGTCAGATCAAGTCCCACATGCTGAGAGAAGCTGGCAGTACATAGGAAACCTAAGTTGAAGCTTGCCAGTGTAGTCCATTTTTAAAATTGCATTTTAGTGAGGTTTTTTTGCCTTTTCAAATTGCTCAGAGTTGTTTTTAAAGAATGTGTACTGTGGCTGTGCATCACAGAGGAGGGCCTGAGGTTTGCAGGTAGGCTTCCACTGTCATCAGAAACCGTTAGTGTACAAAAACCTTGAGAGAGAGCAAGATGGAAATTTTACAGAATAAATCCAGAAAGTGCATTAGAATGCTAAAAAAGGTTGTTGTATCAATGAAATGATGTTTTAAAAAAAAACAAAAGGAGTTAGGAGAATAGCTGCAGGTATCTCCTGGCAGTCATTAAGCAATGAGCTTGGGCGCTACTAAAACACGCTTATCATAGACATGTAAACATTAATGTGTATTTAGTCATTCTCTGTGCTGACAAAATCAAGAGCTTGTGTGCTGTCACTCCACTGATACCCATCCCTGCATTAAAAGATGAAATACAAAGATACAGTTTTTGATAGGGTGATCTCTGCAGCCCAGCTGGGCCTTAATTTGGCCATTTGGGAATTCACCAGCTTCTCCCAGTCAAACAAAGAGAACATTACTATGCTGTCCCTTGTCTGCCCTGAAGTACATCTCCTAGTCCACATAGAAAGTTCCTTAAGGCTCATTTTAGGTGTCAGCTGCTTGTAACATATTTTAGCAACTGATCTAAGTAGAAATATTCAGACTTAAAAGTGGCTGGTTAAACTACTGTTGAAACTTATAACAACAAAAAAACTTCCTGGTGACATTACAAGCAAAACGTAGCCAGATCTCCTGCAGTGTGTAATACAGCTCTCCTGTAAATGATCAGGTAGTTACAGGTTTAGCCTCTTGGCTCAGATTGTGTTTGCTCATGCTACCAGTTCTGCTGACACTTGCAATGAAAAAGGTTCATGCAGCTCCTCTGGCTGATAGGTTTCTTTTTCCTACTACCAAAGTGAACCTCAATTAAGTTAAAGTCAATAAGGAAGGCCTCTAGCACATTGATTAAGCTACTAGAATTAGGTTGGTGTATGTATTATAGCCCAGACCAGTTACTGCTGTTTAAATCCATGGTCTGGTACCTGATGAAAGATGCCCTTTCCTTCTATTTATCTTTTACTCATTTGGGGTTTAAATTAAAAATGCATGGGATATTAAATTGTAGATACAGTATAACTCAGAAAGTGTAAAAAATGATAATAGACCTACTACCCTGATGTACTGGAATGCATGGCCCAGTATTACAGTCCATGATATGAGAACATCATTGCCTCTGGTATGGCAGTCTCCAGCCCCTTGTGTCCAGGACCTGTGTGAGAGAGCCACCTGTTTAACTTGAAAGATGTTGGAAATTACTGAGTAGATCAATATATGTTGCTGTGCTTGTATCAGCTACAGAGCAATGGAGGGAAATGTGCATCATCTTCTCTTTTTTTTAATTTCCAGTTACTGGCCCAGGACATCCGACATGAAAGGAATGTGATTTTGCAGTGTGTTCGATACCTCATCAGAAATAACATGTTTGGACTTCATTTTAAAACAGAACCACAGGCTGAAGCAGAAACAGAACAGTCTTCTACAGCTAAAGCAGAGCCTTCTATGGAAAAACCTGATGAATCTAATTGTTCTTGTAGCTCTGACCTTCAGTTAGAAGGAGGACAAGAAGATGCATTATTAATAGCCCAGGGTGAGAAAGAACCTGTGGATCAGACTTCACAGATGGCTCAGTTGGCAGATGAGGACACGTGGGAAACCCCATCAATTCAGTGTGAAGGAGCACCATAGAGGATGTCTGTTATGGACAGTAAAGGCTCACATTTTCTACCCAACTGATGCTTTTTGAAAGTCATCAGTGTAACAAAGTCATTAAAGTACATACTGAGAACTGTTAAAACCACTTTACTGATCTGTTCTGCCCTAGGTGGCCATTTCCTTGGAAAACATGTCGAGTAATTCCATTTCCACATGGCACAAAGGCATCAGTGGCACAAAGTATGACCTTCCCTAGAGCAGATGCAGATCCCTGCTCTAGAGCTTCAGAGTTCCAAGTGTCTTCTTATGAAATGTGTGTGAGTCCAGCCCCAGAGCCAAGTAGGATGGATTTTCTTCATGTGAAGTTATGGACTGGTGTGTGTAGAGTATATTGAGTGTCCAGAAGTATTTCAGTGTAGTTTGAAAATAGTAATTCAGTGCACACATTGTTTCACTTCAGCTGTCATAAGATACATCTAATATAAATCTAAAATAGCTAGTGTAAAATATGGAAGATATAATTGACCTAGCTGAAAAAGTACTGCTTGTCCCTGAATTAAGTTGCTAATTGAGCAGAGGAATTTAAATGAGGGTGCAGGTTTTATTTATTTATTAAAAAAAAACCAAACAACAACTTGCATCAGTGCTGGGTTGCTGGTTGAGCTCAGGTGTCCAATACTGAGCTTTAACTTCTGTTACAGTTATTGCCTGACAAGTTAACTGCTGAAGCAAACCCTCAATATAATTATCAAAGTTTAGAAAGCTTTACCAAGAGTTACTGGTTACCTTTTGCATATACATTGGGAATTTATTAGTTGGCCTTCTGGAAGAATGCCTTGGTATGTTGTTACGATGCTCCTACAGCACCCAGCAATTGATTTTCTTCATGGGTTTGTGCATACATCCGTAGTGTTGTGAGCACTAAAAAATAAGCATCAGCCAAGGTTTAGAAACTAAATTTAGTCTTTTGATTATATTGTGTGTTTGTTTGTCAGAATGCTTCTTATCAAGGGCAGGTATTAGTTTGTCCCATTGACACTGAAAACACTCCACAAAAATAATCTATTCTCGAAACCTCCACTTTAGAATCTGCACTTTGTCTTTTAGTCATGGTTAAATGTTGCAGTTAACTCTCAGGGACTGGCTTTATTTTCTTTTTCTTTGCTAGAAGTCTAGCCTTCCATTCCACCACCTGAAAGAAGGATACTCATATGGGGCTTTTTTATTGCCTAATAGCTATATTTTCTTTTCTGTAGTTCCTTAACTTGTGCCACACATCTCATTTGTGGAGTATAGGAAACAAGAAGTAGTTGAAAATTCTATCCTGCTGCTCTGCTATTTATAACTACAACTGCATATTGTGTTTGTAATGCACTGTCTAAATTTATGGAATTATATAAATACCAACACCCTTGTAAAAGTTGTGTGTCTCAAGGATATATGTGCAGAATAGAAGCAGTGATCATAAACATTTATATTTCCAAGGCAGATGATTCATTCTTCCCATGATGATCTCACGAGCCATCTCAATCTCACTGACTTGCCTCTGGCTCTTACAGCTTTACTGCAATGAAAATACCAACAAAGAACACTCAGCCACGGAGATCTGGCACTTGAGCAGAACCTGGTCTCGGAGTGGAGTGGTACCAGTGCTGTTGAAAGCATAAGTGACAGCTGCGGGAAAAGAAATGGATGTCTTAAATTTGCTATTAAATTGCACTTTAAACAACCCTGTGTCCTATCAAGGTGATGGCAGAGCTTTCTTTGACTGTACCCCTAGACTTTGTGTTTAAAAAGATAGAACCTTTACCAAGAATTCTTTATACTGTTGTCTTTATGACTTAAGACTATTAAACTTTCACACAAAACCAAAAACTGTCAGAAGAAAAATCTTTTTAAAAGTCTGTTTCATATAGATGGAAAGAAATAGGTTTCTTGATAAAGAGATCTGTACATGGCATAAACCAGAAGTTTTAACCTGGGACTTGTTGCATACATTAAGAACTGCTATTTTTCTCGTAACAAGCCATTTCTGCCAACTCATGTAGCAGCCATGTGGAGACAGATACTGCAGTGATGTCAAACACTGAATTGCAGTCTTGGTCAATGGTAGGAGGTCTCTGTCCCTTTCTTTTCCCCCACTTTTCTTTTTGTGTTCTTCCAGATCACATTCAGACTTCACATACCCCTTCCTGCCCATGAAGGATGTGCTTTCTTAGTACTTTGGATTCAGCCTTTGTACAGGAAAGGTGCCATAATGACCTTCTCTGGTACTCTCAAATGCCTGCAGGCTTTTCTGGTCCCTGCAGTTTTATCTGCTCTGGGTTAGCAGAGGTGGGTTTTGTTCACTTGAATAGAATACCTCTCTGTGTCTGTAAGAAGAGCTTGTTGTTTCTGGCATGCTGCTGGAGCCAGTGTTTTGTGTAGCTTTTAGCTTTCTCATTGTCTTGATTTGGGGTGGTAGTTACTGAAAGTTTTTGGTTTTTTTACAGTGTTATTAAGAAAAAAAGTCCTACTGCTCAGTCTTTGTGACTCACTTTAGATAAAAATATTCCAGTGACAACCTTCACACTTAGGAAATTTTATTTTTTATCTTTCTTCTTTTATAACTTAGCTACTGAAAATGTAGTTGTAGGCGTCTAGTTTAAATTCAGTTCCCTTGGGCTTTGCTGGTTTTTGTTTGTTTTAAACCCATCTCACCTACTGAGCTAGAAGAGTGGAGAGAGGGAAAAAAAAATCAAGACTACTCATTTGTGGAGGTGCAGCTTAGGCAATTTAGGCTTGCCTGTGAACAAAATCCTTTGTGATACAGCACAGCTGGTTCGGTGAGGGTAAGGAAAACAAGTGATGTGTGCTTTTCTAATCTGTGTGATTCCTTGGTCAGTGAGGGCTTTTGCAACTGATTTTACGTGTTGATGTTGCAATCCTTGCACTGAAAGCACGGGAGAGGGGGTGATTTGATTAGCCCTGCACCAAAGGGAGGTGCTGTCCCTGCTGCCAACACTGGTCCTCTGTGTAACAACTTGGTGTCCCTCGGGTTTCCCCTTGTTCCTGTGACTGCTAATCCAAGTCATGTGGTGCAGTCATTATTCAGAATGACAGTCATGCAGTCCTAGCAGATCTTAGATGTTTGAAAAATGCTGAGGAATAAATACAGGCTCTTTGTGCTGGTTGTTCTGTCAAAGGCAGAAGTCTGCACTGGAATGCTACATTCCCCAAGCTGTCTATCCAGCATACTGCATTGTTCTGACTATCTGTGAAAGCAAAAAACAATTGGAGAAAGTTCATGAGGACTAGAAAGAAAACAAGTATGAGTTCAGGAGGATCTCAGGCCCTACACAGGCTCATCAGCTTCACCTTTACCCCAGAGAAGGTGGAACAAATAAGCCTAGAAACTATTTCCAGACGTAATAAAGAAGTTACAGAACAATAGAGTGGTAGAGGGTTGGAGGGGGCCTTAACAATCAAGTGGTTCCAACCCTCTGCCATGGCAGAGAGGCCTTCCACTAGACCATGTTGCTCAAAGCACCATCTAAGCCGGACTTGATCATTTCCAGGGATGGAGCATTCACAGCTCTTCTGTGCAAACTATTCTAATGCACACCACCCACACAGTCAAGAATTTCTTCCTAGTATCTATCATACAAGAAGGTGTTTGGGTTTAGCCAGCAGTTTTATGAAGGAGGAATGCTTTATGGATTGGCTAGTCTTTTACAGAGAGATTACTTGCTAGATTGGCTGAGGAGAGGGATATTGCTCATTGTAAATTGACAAGGTTTTAGATGCTGTGTCCTATGGAATACTTATTGGTGAGGTACAGACTGGGTAGGTGGATGATGAGGTAGATTGAACACTTGCTGAAGTGCCAGGCTGAAAGGGCTGTGATCAGTCACCAGCAGGTTGAAAGAAGTGATCCTTTCTCTCTGTTCAGCACTGGTGAGATCCATCTGGAGTGCTGGGTCCTGTGCTTGGCTGCCCAGTGTGGTAGAGACATGGACATAGTGCAAATCTAGTGCAGGGCCACAAAGATGATGAAGGGATTGGAGCATCTTCGTTATGGGGAGAAGCTGAGAGTGTCTGGAGAAAGTTCAGGGGGCTTTTATCCATGTGGATAGACACCTGATGGGGGTAGCAAAGGTGTAGTCAGGATTTCCTCTGTAAGTGCCCAAGACAAGACTTGACAAAAGCACCCCTAATGGAAGGAAATACAGGAAATTTATTTTAAATATCTGAAGAAATGTTTTTACTGTGAGAGGGGTCAAACACCGTCACAGATTGCTCAGAGATGTTGTGGCATGTCCATCCTTGGGGATATATTCAGAACCTGACAGGATGCAGCCCTGAGCAGGCTGCTGTGGGTGAGAGTTGGGAGGGATGATCTCCAGAGGTGCTCACCAGCCTCAGCTGTGCTGGGACTGTGCAGGCTGAAGTGGATGTGCTGCTCAGATTTGCTTGTTGGTGCAAAACACTTGCTGTGAAGGCACTGTCCCTAATGAAATGACAGAGCAGACAGATTCTATGGGCTGCCCTGCCTGCACAAGGCTGATGGACTGCATCAAGTATTGAAGAGAAGGTCCAAGCTCAGCACCCACGACAGCTGACACGACTCCATTGCCTACATTTGTCCCTAGTGTTTGCCCTTGTGCAACCTTGAACTGCAGCTCTGTGCATCAATTTGCAGAGAGGGATGCTAAATCCAACACTTTAACTCTCCCTGCAGTGCAATTTGAGATGGATGAATGAAAAATGCTGTGTAAGTGTTGGGTTTTGCTGTTACTTGGTGAGGTGAAAAAGAGTCGTGTTGGTCTGGGTATTCACTGGCATAGTCTGGGAGTGCTCAATACCTGAAAGAAACTCCCACTCTCCCTACTCTTCATTACTCTTCTGGCTTATGTTGTGTGACTCTCTTCCTAAATTGTCCTCTGATTTCTAAATATACCCTTCAGGGGGTGGCTCCTGTTTGGCAAGGCAGCTTTCTTGGCAGGGCATAATTTTTCCATCTTTTTTGTATACATAAAGGAAGCTGTATAGACTATGCATGAGCATGGGCTCTTGTATGAAAGCAATACCAACTCAGTAAAATAAAACTTTGTGTGCTGAGGAGTATCTGACATATTGAAACCCCTAAGTTGTCATAGGAGCAGTTGTTTTGGGTGAGGGGAAATCCAGGGTAGATTTAATTTTATTTCAAGTTTACTAAAAGTCTTAATGAAAACACTGGTATGGGTACTTGTTGGGGAAAGAGAAACAAGAAATTGGAAGCAGTGCAATTTGTAATTGGAGGGAAACAACAAGTTTGTTTTCTATTTGTCACAGCAAGTGAGTTGTTAAACCTACTTCCCTCTCCAGTCTCACCATCTTGCTTTCTAAACACAGGCTGATGTGCTTGAATGATGTAAGTATACCATTGGCATTGGGGAAGATGAAAGAAAATTGCACCAATGTTTGTCTATACTGATCCACACTCTCTTGACTAGTGGATATCTGTTCAGAGCTGGGTGCCTTTTGAATTCTATTTCCTTGGCAAACAGGTGGGGTGAAATAACTAGATTTCCCACTGGATTGACTCATGGATGGATCTGGGCAAAAAGGATATTTTTTCAGTTCCAGAAATTACTGAAACATGCCGAAGTACACCTGTTTATGATAATTTCAAAAGACATTTCTTTCTTATTTTTGTCCAGAGTATAACATTTGTGAAACACTGGTTTTAGGTTGGTGAAAACTGTGATTTCACTTGGGACAAAAGCATTCTGTTTCTGTTAAATAAATAGAAATGATGAAACCAGAGCAGATCTTCCTCAGTGTGGGAGAAGGTAACTCCCCACTCCCAGGCTCCCAAGAGAGGCCTGCTTTAGTGGCCCTCTTGGAGCATGCAGGACTGGCTGATCCCATCTCCTGCCTCTCTGTGGCTCCACTTGGCCAGAATGTGTCTCCTGGTGGAGAGAGAACCAGGATGCTTTGCTGAGGGGCTGCATCTCTCGGCTGGGAGGCTAGACCTCTGCAAAATGGACTTTAAAAAAACAAAGCCAGAGGATGCTGAAGAGAGGCAAGGTGCTGGTTGGAGTATTCTTGGTCAGGGACCCATGGAGGCTTCATGTCTTTGTGATGCCCATCTTCTGAGCAAGTACTTTTATTAATTTTCTTGTTAATCAAAGCTGTCTGCTTCCTCACCTCCTCCTCCTCCTCTTCCTCCTCCTCCTCCTCCTCCTCCTCCTCCTCCTTCTCCTGCTCCTTCTCTGCTGGGGATAGAAAGTTTAGTCCATGCTCTCTCTCATTTGCTGGAGCTACTAAGTAAACCCAACCTGAATAGGAAAATAGCAGTGGGATTACTTAAAACCACATTTCTCAGCAAGTTCATGGTTTGTAAAACTCTTAATTCTGCTGTGCTTAAATTTAAACCCTCTTTATTTTCTTTTGGGCCCTTAGCAAAGAGATTTTGACTTTCAAGGGCAAGATGTCAGTATTGTACCAGGCAACACTGGAGGGAAGCTGATTGCATCATATAGTGGCCAAATGTTATTGCAGATTTCCAAAAGTAGAGCTGTTCTCCCCACCCTTCTAAAATTCATTCTGAATTTTGGTGCCTGTCTGGTCTTTTGTGTTTTTAGGTGATACTGTTGATAGATATTTTCTCACAAGAGAGAATGAAATTTGTCTGCCCTTGCACCATGGAGAGAAAATAACAATATGGGAAAAAGAATCTTCTTTTATTGTCATCTGGTTTCATGGCCAGGAGCACAATTTCCATCTCAGTTTCAGATGACCCTTTCAGAGCTGGTGTCTGAGCTTCTGTGACACCTGAGAAAACCCCAAGGTGACCAGAATCAAAGTCTGGTGCTCTCCAAGAACAAAGGTGTGTGGAGGGAGCAACA